TTCAAGATACCACACCATTGCACTCATTTCACATGCTAGCAAAGTTATGCTCAAAATCCTACAAGCTAGGCTCCAGCAGTATGTGGACCGAAAAATACCAGAAGTACAGGAGGGATTTTGAAGAGGCAGAGGAACTAGAGATCAAATTGCCAACATACACTGGATCATGGAGAAAGATAGGGAGTTCCAAAAAAATCTACTTCTGCTTCATTGACTATGGTAAAGCCTTTGATTGTGTGGATCGCAACAAATTGTGGCAAGTTCTTAAAGAGATGGAAGTACCAGACCATCTTATTTGTCTCTTGAGAAACCTATATGCGGGTCAAGAAGCAACAGTGAGAACTGGACACGGAACCACTGATTGGTTCAAAATTGAGAAAGGAGTTCGGCAAGACCGTATACTGTCGTCCTGCCTATTTAACTTATATGCAGAACACATGAGAAAGGCGGAGCTAGATGAATACCAGTTGGAATTAAGATTGCTGGGAGAAACATCAACAACCTCAGATATGCAGATGATACCACTCTCATGGCAGAAAGTGAAGAGGAACTAAAGAGCCTCTTGATGCGGGTGAAGGAGGAGAGTGCAAAAGTTGACTTGAAACTCAACATTAAGAAAACTAAGATCATGGCATCCGGTCCTCTCACTTCCTGGCAAATAGATGGGAAAGAAATGGAGGTAGTGACAGAGTTTATTTTCCTGGGCTCCAAGATCACCGCAGACAGGGACTGCAGCCAAGAAATTAAAAGATGCTTGCTCCTGGCAGGACAGCTATGGCAAATCTAGACAGCATACTAAAAAGAAGAGACACCACCCTGCCAACAAAACTGCGTATAGTCAAGGCTATGGTTTTCCCAGTTGCAATGTATGGTTGTGAAAGTTGGACCATAAGGAAGGCTGAGTGCCGAAGAACTGAGGCCTTTCCTTTGAACTGTGGTGCTGGAGAAGACTCCTGCGAGTCCCTTGGACTGCAAACCAGTCAGTCCTAGAGATCAACCCTGACTGCTCTTTAGAAGGACAGATTCTGAAGATGAAACTCAAATACTTTGACCACCTAATGAGAAGTAAGGACTCACTGGAGAAGAGCCTAATGCTGGGAACAACAGAGGGCCTAAGAAGAAGGGGATGGCAGAGAATGAGGTGGCTAGATGGAGTTACTGAAGCAGGCGTTATCTTAAGTGGCCTTTGGGGGATGGTGGAGGACAGGAAGGCCTGGAGGAATGTTGTCCATGGGGTCACAATGGGTCGGACACAACTTCACGACTAACAACAACAACGGTTTTGAAGCAAAATACCTCAGCTGTCCCTATTTCACCCTTTCTGTTTGGCTAAGATAAAAGTTATATAGATTTTGGGTACTATGATAAGGATTGGACTTTAAGTGTAGCAAAGAACTGAAATAACCTATTTCAGTTGTTAATTTGAGTTCTGCTATTCTGTATCAGCAGGCATGCCTTCTGTAATAAAATGATTTACAATGGATTCAGTATTAGTGGTCATACTTAAATAACCTCCCATTCTAATCTGATTTATTAGCATCCCACAAGAACATTGCATGAGAGATGATATGGGACAGCACTCCAAATAGCCCCCAGTTTTTTGCTAGGCAGTATCTGTTACTGCCAGAAGCAGTCAAGGTAGAAAGCTTGCACCAGAAGATGAGTCCTCTCAACTCAACAGCACTTGTCTACCTTCTGCTGTTCTCAGTCTGTTTTCTGCATTTATCAGTCAACATTCCATGCTGTCCCATTTTCTTTCATCATCATCCTTTTTCTGCCTTATCAGTATGTCTCTTATGAGACAATATGTCTCTTATCTTCCAGATTGTACAACAGAATTATGTACGTTTGGACAATGAATACAGAACCGATTTTTTTAGTTGCAGAGACACATCTTTGAACTCTTCCTCTTGATAATGGACTTTCATGGTTAAGACACGATCTGTTTCCTTGCTTCCTTAAAATCTCATTTGCCACCATGGAATGGCACTGTATTTGTGGCAGTCAGTTATTCTGAATCAGTAAGGCAAAAACATTCTGTAGATTATATTGGTTTTTAAAAAAATGTCTTTCCAGATATTTCTTGTACTTCTGTAATGCTCATTTCTACTAGTTGGGATGCAACAGTGTCTTTCTCTCAGTTTTCCTTTGTGCTGATAAATGCAAGAGGCTAGATGCATTTGAACCATACTGCTAGAAGCGAGCTTTAAAATACTCTGGACCAACAGACAGACGAGCGAGCCTTAGGTCAAATTAAGTCAGCCTTTCCCTAGAAGCAAAAACAGCAGCACTGAGGCTGTCAAAGTTCAGGCATATCATGGGAAGAAAATACTCACTGGAGAAGACAATAATGCTGGGGAAAGTTGAAGGCAGAAGATGAGGAAGATCAACCATCAGACGGATCAGTTCCATAAAGGGAACCACTCTTGAGAAGGGCTGTCAAGGACAGGATGCTTTGGAGGGCTTTCATTCATAGGATTGCTATAAGTTGAGAACAACAGTATATAACACAGCATCTTAGTCACTTGTAGTAAGTAAACTTGGACTGCACCTTTCCCTTTTATTAAGATGTGTTCAATAACCCCCAAATGTCATTAGACTCATTTGTCAACCCTCTTTTTACCTTAACTCCACATGTTAATTTATCATTAACAGCTATATTCCAGATTTCTTTATACCATTCACTTATTTGGATCCTGTTTCTCCTTCCAATCTTTGCTATTGCTAATCTTAATGCAATTACTAAATTTGTTATTAACTCTTAAATGTTCCATTTCTTTTCATACAATATTGACTAATGCAATTTCAAGTTCAGCTTCAATATTTGAATTCAATATTTTACTGATTTCCTTAAAAATCATTATCTGAAATGTCCGAATATTTGCACATTCCCACCACATATGGTCAAAAATCGGGTATGTAATTCCATATCTCCAACATAAATTGGAGTATTTATTATCCATATAGTATAGTTTTTCTGGTGTCAGGTACCATTTCTATATTAATTTATAAAAATGTTCTTGATTCTAGTTGACATGCTTTTAGTATTCCCTTATTTTTCCTTCCTTATCTATGTCCCTCTCTAAATCCATTTCCCATGAAAACTTGAGAAAATCATATTGGTCTTCCATGTCTAGTAAAATATTTTGAATCTCACTATTCCTCTTGTTTGCATCATGTCTTATGTTTACCTATATATAATGATCTCTTCAAATCTGGTAAGAACTCTACATGTACCATTTTTCATCTCATTGATATAAAGACTGTATTAGAACATCAAACTTGGAATAGCCTAGCAACCAAGTGGGAGTCTCTAATAGCAGAGCCCTGCTTTTCTCTTTTGCTTTACTAAGAGTTGAACTGCAAGGAGTGCAGTCCTATGCATGTTTAGACCAAAGAGATGTTCTGCAGCCCTTGGCAATCTCCAGCTAGCATTTGCCTAAATCGACAGTATCTAAATATGCAGAGATTGCCCCTGGGCAGCTCGGTGTGTGCTGCAGTTGCAATAAGCACCCATTCGTGCTTGATTCCCACCACCTTGCTGCAAAAAACACAACAGCACGTTCATATTTAAGGGCAAGCAAGGGTGGAAACTACAGAGACATGGCTTCTCATTATGTTGGAACCCAGCAAGCATAGCAAAGCTTGGTATATTTGTGCTGTGTGGAAGCACACACCACATGTTTCCTGTCATGTTGTTTGATCTTGATGGCTGACTTGTAGAAAGCCCAGCTATTTGTACCAACATGGGGACACTTTTTCTTGGAACAGGAATATAATGTGCTCGCTTGTGCTCTCTTTTCTCTCTCTTTCTCTGTCTATGAGAAAGAAAGTATTAATCTAGAAATGAGAGAAACGTATAAACTTATCCTCATTTAAGGCTAAGAGATTAGAGTAGAAATTTAAGAGTACTGAAACAGAAAAAATCCTACAATCCCCAGCATGCCTGCTGGAAGCAAGCTGGAAGCTATAGGACCTTTTTTTGGCTAAGTATGCACAGCCTTGTGCCCTTAATGCCCTAGTTTAACTGGAGGGTTGTAGAAGATTTTATAAAAGACAACTTACCTCCTTCCCACCCTATTCCAATGAAGCATTTTCAATAGGTATGTTAAACTGATGCTATTATACCAAGAATGAATTTGAACATGCTTCATAGCATATCTAGTTGTGGCTTCACCCTTACTCAACATCCAAGAAAGCAAAATGCAGCGGCAGTGGCCTAAACTGGACAGCAATGCTCTAAACCAAGAAAAAAGAAAATGCGTGCTTTGCACCACAGTGTATGAAATAATGTTCTTACATATTCCTCGTTCCTGCTGTAGAGAAAATAACCGCAAAACAATCGCGATAGAAATACTACTTGACAGTAAATTCTTCGAATTTCAAACATCACTACGGCAAGGTGCTAAACATAAAACGCTTTAACATCAGCGAGAATATGTAAATACAGCACGTAAGTAATTTACATACTCCATTATCTTTTAACTTTCTGAGCGGTTTGTCGGGCAGATCAAGGCACCCAGGCATCCCGCTAAGTAGGCGGGTCACCACAGGGACGACCTGTACCCGTTCAAAAATTCCTCTCACATTAGCAGTGAGGACCCGGGCGTCACCCCGGATCGTTATTTTCCTTACTCATAAGTTTAAGGCATAAAATACTCCTCCACCGAGCGGACGTGTTATTGAGTCCAACTACTTTACACATGAGGGTGAACAAGTAAAGGGAAAGATAAAAGGATCGTAGCAGTTCCAGAATAAAACTTGAAATACTCTTACATGTCTTACAGCTCACGAAAAAAGGGAAAAAAAGACGGATAAATGAAGAAAACACAACTTACGAGGTCCGGTGGTGTGCATGCAAATAGAAATCTTGCCGCAAGGAATTGTGGGAAGCTAGTTGCTGCCAGATTGCCAAAGCTCTAAACGCGCGTGCCCTATGATCTGAGTCGCGAGCAATTTGCAGTTGCGCGCGCAGGGGAGGAGGCAGAAGGAAGAGGGAGTAGCGTGAGACCGGAAGTAGTTGAGGCTCATGTCCGGGCTTCGGTCGTTGCGACTGATCTCCGGGCCTAGCGACAACATGGCGGACCTGTCTCTGGACGAGCTGATCAGGAAACGCGGCGTTAATGTGAATGGAAAAGGGAGGTGAGCTGAAGATGGTGGCTGGAATACAGAGTTCATGGGCTAGGGCTTTGGTATCATCGAGGGGTCCCCCGTCCGCCTCAGACTGGATCCGTGCCCTGTTCCGGGAGGTTCTGGACGAGAGCTGCACTCTGTGCTGTGATTGGCTCTCGCTCTTGTCAGTTTTAACCCACTGGAGCGTTCGGTTCTGTTGAACCATCCTGTGCTGCGAGGTGGCGTCGACAAAAGGAAGGAACCTCCAGAGTGGGGTGGGCCGCCCGAGCTCCCTGATACAAGGGCAGTATGTGGCACGAAGGCTACGGGGAAGGACTTAGTGTATGTGGGTCTGCATGGACAGCGTTTGCTCCTTCCGTCGGTCCAAACCAATGAATCTCTTAAGGGGAGGGGATAACGGCAGCCTCCGTTCCGTTTTCCCCATCCCCACATTAAGGTGTCGGGACTGACTTCTCCTGTTGCGAAGACTCCCTCACTTCATTTTAAGCATCGATGTTGGCAATTTGCCAGTAGGGGTGACCCAGTACACTTTGCTATTCTGTAATTCAAATGGTGTATCTTGCTCCTTAAGTTCTTGAGCTGCATCAATGGCAACCTGCAACAATGACCAGTGATTATTACCATGTTGCTTGTGTGCTTGAGCCAGCCTCACATCTACATCATTCAAAATGATACAGACCGTGCCTTTCATATTCAATAGCTCTCTGTTCCTAGCCTGTTATCCATTCTCTTTTCGTAGTCTCTTCATTATGTTATATTCTACTGCCTGTGCTCCTTTCTTCCTGCTCTCCAGTACAGGTTCCCCCACTCTTTGTCAGGCAGTCCCCCTTTTTATTCTACCTCAAGCACTCCGAGTACAATAGAATATTTCCTGAACCACATCTCATTTGCCCACTGCTATCCAAACCCTTTCTGTTTGTTGTTAGCTTCTACCTGCTTAGTAGTAAGAAAGTGTGCTTTCCTTGCTTCTGTTATCACTGCTCAATATTTTAGACAGCTCCACAAGGAACTCAGTGTCACTTAGAAAGTTCTCCTCCTCCTCTCCATTTTATCCTCATAACAACAGCACTCTGAAGTTGGTTAGGCTGAGAGGGTTAGGGTCACTTGGTGAGCTTCATGGTTGATTGAAGTCCAAGTCCAACATTCTGCACCCTACTGAATCCTCAACTGTCCTGTATCCAAGCTTTCATGTATATGCTTGCTGTTCTGCATATATTATGGGTGTCAGTATGCTGTTCACTGATTGTAATGAACAATAGTGTGTGGTAAATAATGGCATAGTATGTGGTAAATAATTTAATAAGTCTGTACATTAGGTATTAACTATAAATTAATGTACGAGGAAAAACTTGCAATAATGTACAGCATTTGGGTGATCTTAATTCCCTGAGCTGGGTTGGATGCTTCTAGGGTTCTGTAGTCCTCCTAGGTAATTGCTCTTTTATAAGAGTCATTTTTGAACAGTCTTGTTGTGTATTTGGGGTAACAAACAGCAATTAGTTAAAGTTTTCATACAGAGATCTTGTTCCCAAGAATGCTATAGCATGGGCAGTCATAGATAAGTGATATCATAGAGCAATATGCTTCATGGCATGATATTCAAATAACTTCTCACCTTCTGCTTATCTGCTGTAAAAACCGGAACGTACAAATTTTTAGCTATTGGCTCTGCACAGGACTGACCAAATACCTCACATTCCTAAATGTCAGCATCAGAATACTATACTCCCAAGTGAACAGTCATCTACTATAAAAATAAGAGATACATACTTGATGAGTACAAATTTCTGTGTTGTTCAGCATTCTGTTCACATAGTGGTCAGCCTATGGGGATCCCACAAGTAAGAGATTGGTGTAATAGTAGTTTCTTACTTATATTCTCTAGCAACTGGTATGCAGAGGTATATTGCCTCTGATACTGAAAGTAATAGAAGTCTTTATGAATAGTAGTCCTTGATGGACTTACTTTCCCGAATTTAACTAATTCCCCTTTAAAATTGTCCAAGTTGGTGGTAATCAGTACATTTTGTGACAGCAGTTTCATAGTTTAGCTATATGAAGTACTCCTATTTTTCTGTCACAAAAAGTCCACTACTCTATATCCTTGGGTGCTTCTGGGTTTAGAGAGGAAGGTAAACTTCTGCTTTCCCTTTTTCTACATCATGCATAATTTTATACACCTCTGCTGTGCTCTTGGTTTTTTTTCTAAGCTAATAAGCCTCAAGTGTTGCAACATCTCCTCATGGTCCAGCCCTTCATAATTTTGTTTTCTGCACCTTTTCCAATATCACACTATCCTTTTTTGAAATGTATGCAGTATTCCAGCTGTGGCTGCACCATAGAGTATGATCCTAGCACTTCTGTTTTTTATTCAACCTTTTCACATCACCTGTTTACTGAATTCATGTTTTCATTGAGCTGTCTATGACAATCCTGATCAGTCACCTTTTCTTCAGCTCTGATTTCATATTATTTTAACTTGTCTAATTTCCCATAATTTTGGCACATTGCATTGTAGCATGGACCAGACATGTTACAGACAACATGTTACAGCTTCAGTGAGCTATGGGGCCCCTAGGCACCATTTTGCAAATCAAACACTTCTGGGAATTGTCATGTCATGCAAACCAGGCATGCCTGAGATATGTGAGGGTCATTGACCTTCACAGAACCCATGCTCACCAAATATGCATGACACAAGAGCTTCCAAGTAGCAATTGCATATTCAAAATTGTAGCAACACACTCTGCATCCTCACCACTGGGCCATTATGTCATGCAAACAGCTCCACAATCTGCAAGGACAAAAGCTGGCTCAGAAATCTAAAATTCAAAGTTTGGGAGTCAGGAGAGACAAAGAGTTCACTCCTGTTTCAGCTTTGTGTCTCAGGAAAACAAGCATTCTTGCAAGTTACTTGTGTAATACTGGATTAGGTTGGTGTCTGTTTCACTTGTCTTGGCTTTCTCTACTCTTCTGTTATTAACATTGACCTCAGAATGTAAAGTTGTTCAGTTGCAGTCAACATCTGAGTCTGGAATTCATCCTCTACCTACCCACTGTCAGTGGGGTGGAGCTGTTCTGTTAGTTGTTTCTAAGTTGTTAGATGTTGCAGCTAACACTTGACATTTCTGTTCCAGACTGAACACCAGGCCAGTATTTGGAGGTATCAGATCTCGCATTGGAGTCCAACAAACTTTTCTAAGCAGGCCAACACCAAGTGTTGGCTTCCAGCGGACATTTGATGCACGTCAAAAGATTGGCCTTACTGATGCCCGACACAAAATTGGCGTGAAAGATGCCCGGGAGAAACTGCTTCAGAAAGATGCTAGGTTTAAAATCAAAGGGAAAGTGCAGGATGCACGGGAGATGCTGAATTCCCGAAAGCAGCAAAGTGTCGAAAAGGTAACCAAAGTTGTTGATGCCAGAGAGAAAATTAGTTTGAAAAGGAGCGCCCCAGCTACAACCACAGTGAACACTGTTGTGGAAACTGCAGTTCCTGCCATGAAGATCACAAAAACAATTCAGGTAGGTTATGATTACCACCCCTGCAGTTCCTGTCTGTCTGTAAGTAACTGCATGGTGAGATGGTTCCATGTATTTCAAGAAAGACCGCTGGGAAAAAGCATTAATGTAATGTCATCATAGTAATGGAAGACAAACTCATGCATGTAAATTCTGGATTTATTTTGTTTCCTAATCTGAGCTTTAATGAATAGATACCATAGTTTAACTTGCTGAATATTACTTTTGCAAGGTGAAACAATGCATGTACTTCTATACAGACTTTTAGACCAATCAAATAATATCTCAGAGGTGTAGTCTCAATTGTTTATCCGTAGGTCAGATCCTGGGGAATTCTATTCACCTTACTGAAATAATGTTTAGAAAATTTCAGCAGTGGAACTATTGGTAGTTTTCAGCTATTTTTACATATATACAGGAATTTACATTTATTATTATATGTAAATACTTTATTTGCATACATGATACTATAATTTCTAGTGTATTTCCCTCTTGGATATGGTGTAGGAAAGCTTGTATGAAGCTCAAATTTAACTGTTATGTTCAGTGAATAAAACAGTGCTTTTACAGGTTTGACATGTCTGTGCTACCTGCCTACCTTACTCAAATGTGCTATGGAAGTCGGAGAGTTTAGAAGTTATTCTGTGCTTCTAGTTGCAAGATAACTGCTGCTTCAGTCATGAAGTACAGACTGTTGCACAATAAGTCTGCCCCCTAGATCACAAAGTTGAATTGTACACCTGTTTATAGCTTTCTCACATAGAAATCTATATTGTGCATACAGAGTTTTGTGTTTGCATATGTGTGTGTAAGAATGCTTTGCTAAGCATCTTATTTCTGCCTGCTAGTGTAGAAAGAAGCCTACCCATTTTTATCTTTCCCCTTCAGCTCAGTTGATTGAGAGAGTGGAAGTATACTGACTTCATTTTGCCACTATACCTGCCAGGCACTCTGAACTTAACATACTTGGCAGGCACAGAGACAAACCATGTACTTAATTTTGCACCTTTCATAAACGAAAATGAGAGGTGCGGCAACTGCAGAGAGAAAACATGGCACTGAAAGCAGCTATTGCAGTTAAATTTTCTGCTTAAATAAAATAATCTGCTGAATTTCTAAAATGTCTGATTATAGTATCTTGCACAGTGTTTTAATTTATCCTTCCAGCAAAAGTTGCAAATATTGTAAGAGAGTGTAATAAACAGATGTTGAACCTCAGGCCCCTGGACCAAATTTGGTCCACTTGGTGTCCCAGTTCAGCTAGCTGGGGTTTCATAGTTGTTCAGTTTTAGTGATGTTGTCCTTCTGTTCTAAAAAGTTGAAATGTCTCTCCTAAGGCTTAATTACTAGTAGTAAAACCTTTAAGCTGAACTATATGGATATTTTGGCCTTATCCCCTTCTGCCTCTGCCCTATCCATCAGTGGAAGGTAGCCCTTGAAGGTTTTCCTGAGATGGAGTCTGGCTGTTGATCTGAAAACTGAATGGCCATGTTGTAGCTTTCAAGCCTTGATATGTTACAGAATTTAGCGATCCATGTGTTACTAGGACCATTGAACAAGAGCATCTCATTTCTTCATAACCTCTAATAAATTAAGGCCAGGAGGTAATACATTCTGTTACTAATGTCTTTCTTCTCCCCCACTCCCATCACAGCAGAAGACTACAACTTCATCACATACTCACCCTGCAGGTATGAAGGTCAACATTGTAAATAATCACACACACAAACAGGTACGTTTTATTCAGTAGCAAAATGGGAGATGCAGTTGTTGTAAAATGCTAGTAAGCTGGGAACATTAAATGTTTTTATGAGTTTGGCTATAGAAATTACTTAACACTTTAATTTTGAGGGGACATCTTAGGATGTCATGGCTTTCCTTATGACTATAGGACTGTCCCAATGTGTCATTGGCCCAACACATCTAGCAAGGCATATTCATCCAGGCATGGGGAGCGAGACCTGAAGACAGCAGACTTTGATTCAGTCTCTTTGTTCCTGTCAGCTCATCTCCTGTTGAGGTTACCAGACCGCTGGTAACTCTTCCCCTCTGCAATAGTGGGGGACCTTATAACATGGTCCACCCACAGAGACCAATGGATTCATATGCTTTCTGGACGAGTTGTGGGTGGGAGGTTAACGGATACAGCTAGCCCTAGTCAGGTGAAGCCCTAGTCAGTCTGTGGAATACAGGGATGAGCTCTGTGGTTGACACATTCACACACAGATAGCCTCTTTGTAGTAAAGCTCATCGAACTCCATGGTGTGCCCTGAAGCTGAGAGTGATGAAACAGAATAGGAGACTGAGTGCAGATGGAGGAAAACTCTAGTGGATGTAATCAGACTGCTTGGGGGCAGCAAGGGTGGCAAAGAAACAGCATCTCAATGCCTCTGTTTGATCCTCTGTCTCTTGCTTAGTGGAGCTTTTTAAGGTATCCAGGGCCTATTGCATGCTGGCCCTGAGAACACTGTAGACCTGTCTGAAGCCTACTGAAACATTTTGTCGTGAGGTCGTAACTCACGTCTCCAATTAACTCACACAGCAGCCAGTGGTGAAGCTAAAGACTTTTATTGCTATTCACTACAAGATTTACGATGTGACTGATAAGCTCTAATAACAGGCCCCTTTCAGTTTAGTTGCTCCTTCCTTTCTGAGCTACCTCAGGAGACCACATGGCATCAGACCTTCCTGTCTCGCCTTTCCGTTCGTGGGTGGGACAGACTTCTGTCCTGTCATCCGCCTTAAAGTCCTCCTAATTTGGGCATTTGCCAAATTCCCCGTCATGTCTTCTTGTTCTCCTGAACTCTGCTCAGCAGCTTCAGAGTCAGGGGGCGGGGGGCAACTTGTTCAGGCAGCTCAGAGCTAGGATGAGAGGAAGCTACTCTTTCAGACACCTCCCCATCAGTCTGCGGGGAGGCTATTCGCTGAGGGGCTAAGGGGTCAGGCTGTGGAGAGGTTTCTTGCTCAGCAGTCTCAGAGTCAGGCTGCAGAGGGGCCGTCTGGGCACTGGGCCTCAAATATAAGTCCCCTTTTTCTAATGCTTGACTCTCACTGTTAGCTCCTGTCTCTTCCTCACGAGTAGATGTCTCTGTCGAGCCATCAGGCATGACATTTTTGCTGGGCAATTCCAAGATAAAATCTCTTAAATCTGCTGGGACTTAAAATCTGATGTTACAGCATTTAAATCAGGTGAGGTTCCCAGAGCACAACAGGTTCAGTTTTCTTGGATGGGTTCTAGTTTGTACAGCTCAAGGACACTGACAGGGCTTGAATAATCACTCCTGTACTCATGCATCCACTACCCAGTGGATTTTTGCCCCCTTATAACAACTAGCAGAAAGGTAAAAGCCAGAATGCTCTCTTCTCCCACACATTTAATGGAATTTAACTGTAGCAGTTTTGTATTAAAATTGTTTTCAGCCCATTAAATGGTTTTAAATGTTGCATACTGGAAAAAATTATCTCATTTTTGCTATATTGTGGTTTACATTTTACAAATTATTGTGAACCACCCAGAGACCTTTGGCTGTTGGGCAAAATAATAATTAAGTACTAAAATTCCACACCAGCTGTGGTCTTGATCCTGCTTGTTATTTCCTCCCCCTCCCCACACAGCTGCCATCTGCATTTCAAAAGCCATGCATGTTTAATACCAAGGCCATTAAATGCCACAATTAAGTTGGCCCTTAGAATTTAAACTATAGGATCAGTGAGCAGCATTTGAGAAAGTTGTCATGGGCTTGTGAATGACATTTGGCATTATTCACTTGTACTATTTTGGAGTCTTTCAACAACCACTGAGTGAGATAAGAAGTCCTTTTTGTGTTTAAACATTTTCATAAAATGCAGCAAATGTCCCTCCTGTGCTTTGCTGAGATATCTGTTCAGAAAATCCAGTGGACCAGTAAGTGTCACAGTAGTGAAACAGGTGCTTATGTTCTCAGAGTTGTCAAGATATGAGAACCAAACGGAAGAATTTAACAGTTTATCGCATGCCATACAGAACACCCATTTCATACCAACAACTTGGGCTGGATTTGACATTTTTGTTTTCTCCCACATTCAAATTGTTTAACTCTCAAGTTCTTTCAATTCTGTAGATTTCCAAAAAGAAACATGCAGATTTTTATACATTTATCAAAAACAAACCAAACTGAAATTCTTACCATCTTCACCAAACAATTTCAATAGATACTTATTTCCAGCGTGGAAAACACCCTGTTGTAACTACCTGCCTGCTATATAGCTGTTACAGATGAAGAAGTTGTCAGCAAAATGAGGTGGCAGCCTTAATTTGGCACAACAAACATAGTTTAATATCCAGACAATATTTAGACAAAAGACAATCATTTAGAGGTTGAATACTTCAAAGCCCTGGCATTGGATTGATGGATCTTTTGTTTCTCCCACATTCAATTTTGCTTAAATCTGTCCTATTTAAGAAGAAAACAGCAAATAAGTTAATTATAATAATTATTATTATAATAATTTATATAATAATAAATTATTAAAATAGTGATGGGTAGTAATTTTGTTCAGCTACCAACAACCAAAAATGTCAAATCAGCCACCTGAAATTATAAGTTACTTAGTTGTTTTCTACCTGTTTTTAGTGCCTGTATGATGCAGAAGATGATGATGAAACTGTTTCTCCCCTTCCTAACAAACAGATGAAGATTACCACCACAAATAGTTTTCTGCAAAGTGCGGTAAGTGGTCTGCTTTAGTGGTCTTGCCTTCTCCACCCTACCCAATGAACATGTAGAGATGGACATGCTCATACTCTGTGTTCACACTGAATAAATACTGATAACAGTTTTATGGCACTTATATTAGTTTTGAAGTTTGTATCTATGATGTCTCCTCTCTGTTCCCTTATAATTCTGTTCCAAACAACACTGCTCCAGACAGAGTGACAGTACCCTATATTTCTGGCATAAAATGTAGTCTTTTGTCTTTAGGTATACAGTTAGTTTATCTCCTTATTGTTTGAACAAGCCAGTAATTGAATTCTTCTCTTCGCACTGAGTCTAGATTTTGTTGTAGTGTAAACGTATTCTGGTGGCATCAGCATTCTGATGGACAAAAAACACATGGAAAACCAATATGAAACCTGCACCACTATAATTTGGGAAGTATCATTACTTAAACACCTGAAACTAGTTTTTGTATGTGTGTATGTATTTATGTCCTGTCTGTTCCCAGTGATTGGGACTCAAGGTGGCTCACAATATTAAAAACTTAATTAAAAAGTCATGAAAGATCTGTTTCTTATTCCAAACTTGTTAGGATCTACATGGTAGTTAGCATCTTGTTTGCAATGGTTAAATGTGCTTTGCAGGTCACTCGCAGAATGATCCCTCTTAATTCACTGTTGCCTCCATAAGCCAGAGGCCTGGAAGGAATATGTCCTTTGATTGAATAGACTTTGTTTACTTGGATTTCCAAAAGGCTTTTGACAAAGTCCTCAGCAAAGACTCCTGAGCAGACTAAGCACTCATGGAATAAAAGGAGGGAGGAGGGAGTTCTCTTATGGATCACTAAGTGGATAAAGAACAGTAGACAGAGGGTGGAAATAAATGGCAGTTCTCCCGAATGGAGGGATGTAATCAGTGGAATTCCACATAGTTCTGTATTGGGAATTACGCTTTTCAGCCTATTCATAAATGAACTGGAATTAAGAGTAAGCAGTGAGGTGGCCAAGTTTGCTGATGACACCAAACTATATTACCATTCGCTTTAGCTACATTGTTGCAAAACCAAGTTGAACATTGTTGCAAAACCCACTGCTAAAGTGGGTCTTTGTTTCAAATCCACGTTTGAAATGGTAGTTTTGCATTTTATTACTCTGCCTTGTTTAGAAGTGCCGCATCTGTTGTTCTCCGGCCTTCTCACTTGAAATATATAACATATTCTAAACTTCTATAGTATTTTCATTAGTGGAGCTTGCAAAAGTTTTGCCTGAATAATTGGTCCTGTGAGGCGCAATCCTACCAGGATTCTGATAAGCCCTGAACTCAGAGGCTTATGGGCATCCTATAGAGTGGGAGAAGAAGCAGAAACAATCTTTGCTTTCCTGTCCTTCTGCTTTGTATTGCCACTAAATTGACTTTTTTGCCTGCCTATTCCGGAGCAACTTGGAGAGAGAAGGAGAAAAGGACTGGACAGCAATTACAGTGCCACTTATCTTGCCCTTCTCAGTCTCTTCCCTACCTCTTAAAATATTCCTTTAAAGTTTCCCTGACTTGAGAGCAGTTGGTGCAGTTCTTTCTGGCTCAGCAGCAGGAGAAGTAGGGCAGAGTTCCGATACCCAGCTCTGAGGATGGAGTGCAATCTCCAGCCCCAGATCTGAGACTTCTGAAAAGTACTCTGGTCTCTCAGAAGCTGTATAGAGGTCGTAGGGTTGCTCCTCCCTTCCTTCCTTCCTTCCTTCCTTCCTTCCTTCCTTCCTTCCTTCCTTCCTTCAGGTACTTGATTCTGTAGTTGACTTTTTGAAATTTTTAGCAGTATTTTAACACTACTTGTTATTAGAAGGCTGCTGAATTTGGCTACTCCATTATACTAAATTATACCACATTAATTTAATATCCTAAAGTTGACAAGCAGTTCTGCTGGATACGCTGTACTCCACTAACTATAATGCTACTGCAGTATTTCTGGGGGCGGGAATCCCTGTTCCATTCTATCTTAAAACTTGAAATATGCTATTTCTATGAAAAATACAAAACTGTTTCACCTTTCAGAATGCAAGTCTTTCAAAATGCAAGTACTTCAGAGCCAGATTACCATTATCTTGCTTAAACAAATATCAGAGGGAATTTTCTAATACATCCTGGAATGCATTAGCTGACCACCAGTAGGTGGTTGAATAGCTACAAGTCTTTCCTACATCACATTGGCTTTGGTTCCTTGGATTGAACCTTTCTGGGATAAGAATTTGTGCTGATTGACTACTGCAGCTTTAAGCAGCGATTCTGGCACTTGCAACATCCAAGGATTTTTATTCACTGTTTATGTAGGCTGGGCTCAGTGGCAACAAGTTCTCTTTATCAAAGACAGTTCCCCTCACAAAAGTGGTCCAGAATGATGCCTATACAGCACCCCCAGCTCCACCCTCCCCTATCCGGACAAAGGCCCTAACAAACATGTCCCGAACTCTGGTGACCAAGGAAGAGCCTCCTAAAGAGCCAGCACCAGTTGAGGTGAGTCAGTAACAGAAAAGAAATCCTGCTTATTTCAGTCTTGTGTTTTTCTGTTGTACCTCCTTCAACTATCTCCATGTGACCTGACCTTGTCTTTGCAGTTGGCTTTCAGCCCATTAGAAGGTACTAAGATGACTGTGAATAATTTGCATCCTCGAGTTACAGAGGAGGACATTGTTGTGAGTACTGTATATTGCTGAGTTTGGGGATTACTATGTTTCCATGTTGTTCCTAGTGGGTAAAATAGCATGGGTCCTGTGCTTTCTCTGGAGAGTCTGGGAGCTTTTAGCTGGCTACAGTATGAGCCTACCTACCTGTCTGCATAAGTTCCAAGTGCTCCAGCTATGTTCAGGCAACTGAATGTTTTATAGACAGGAAGTATATAAGACATATAACTGTTTAGTAGTTGGACGGGATATAAAAGCTTTAAATAAGTAAGTAGACCAGCATGTCCAAGGAGAACATGTGCCTAAACTTGTTTTTTTCTGGAAGGTCTAGAATAAAGTGTTTAAACTTGACATAGTGGGAAGGTTTCTAAAGTTTATGGAAGCTGGAACACTGCACAGACAATGCTTTGATAACAGCTGTACTGGCACCTATTTTTGCTCCCTCCTTAACTTCTTATTCCCCCTTTGATTCTTGCTGGAAAAACATTGAGAACTTTGGATTCTTAAAGTGTGGCTTTGGATATACTAGAGTTCCCACTTTTACAGATAAATGTGACATTAGGAATGTAAGAACTGTATACAGTGCACAAATAATTACTGGAATTTGCTGCCAAACAATGAGATGATGACTGCTGGCTTAAATGGCTTTTAAAAGGGCATAAGCATATTAATAGAGAATGGTTCTATTAACTCTGAAAAGCTACATAGAGTGTCCATGTTCAGAAGCCAACTACCTAAAGATATCTGTTAGAAACAGAAAATCTGCTGCACCAGAGTACAGCTCTGTGATCAAAACCTACTACATTTTACCCATTCCACAGGAGTTGTTCTGTGTGTGTGGTGCCCTGAAGCGTGCCCGTCTAGTACATCCTGGAATGGCTGAAGTGGTGTTTGTGAAAAAGGAAGATGCTATCACTGCATATAAGAAATATAACAACAGATGCCTCGACGGTAAGAGTGAGCCTCATGTACAAGGCAGAGGTATTTTGCTCCATTGAAGATCTTAGATAGTGCTGCAAATGTATGTTCTATTACTGGGAAGCCAAGAAAAGTTGTTATTTGCTACTCCTGCAAATAATTATTTGCTCATAGTTCACAAGGACTATTACTGTAGCAGAGATCTGGCATACAGCCTCAGAAATTGCATAGAATGGGCAGAGGTGGTGCAGTCACACAGAGAGATATGAACTTGACCTATAAAAGCTGAGTACACAACAAATGTCTGAGAATGAACGTCATTGAGAACTGATGGAAAATTCAGTGTTCCAGAGTTTGTGCAACTAGTTGTTGCCATTGTCCATAAAAGATGCTTTCAGAATAGAGAGATAACAGGGATGCATGGAACTAAACCCTCCAGTGCCTGCTGGTTATCTACCTGCCAGATCTCGCTCCATTTAAGTTCACTGGTACCAAAGGGTTCATCACTTCCTCCATGCACACTCTTTCTCATTCTTTAAATTTTACCCTGCCCACCTACTGTTTATCCAATTGGAACAGACAAATTTGCTGCTGTAATACATAGTTTGGTGCTCAGATTAAAGCGATGCTAGCTGCAACTGAAGTTAGTTTGAATTTATTCCAGTTAGAACTGGCCAGTTGTCCATCTTCTGTGGTACTCTGTGTTCTTACAGTACTACCAAGATGCTACAGGGTCAGCTGTCTCTTAGGTGAATTGTTTTACTGATTTCTGTTTTAAGAGTCAATTTTTCATTTCTATTATTACAAATATAACCAGCAATTATGCTGTATTTCAAACATTTTTGGGAAACCAACGTTTATTGAATGTAATGCTTTGTCATAATGTTACTTTTTCTAAAACAACTTATATTAAAATAAATTATATATAAGTACAAAAATTTGTTAATGAAGTGTTTCAGCTAATTATTTACCTTCCTGTTACAAAAAGGCAAAGGTTTTTTGTATGTAAGTACTTCTGCCACTGAATAAAAGTGATCTAATGAATGCAAGATATATGATTTGCATTGCTTTACCTGCACAGTCCCATTTGAAATGGATCAGCCAAGTTCCATTTGGTTTAGATGAACACTTATTGCTGATTGCCCTCTTGCTTCTTGAAATGGTTGTGGTTGTGGCATAGAAGGAAAAATGGCCTAACACCCATAATAAGAGTGATTGAATATAGTACAGTACCTGAATCCATAGATTTACATCTTTCTAAATTATAAGTTTAATTCCATTTGTTTCTCTCTGCCAGGCCAACCAATGAAATGTAATCTTCATTTAAATGGAAATATCATCACATCAGACCAACCCATCTTACTGTAAGTGTTTATGGGCTTGTATTCAGAAAACTGTACTGAGAGATTTGACTCTGGGCAAGATGCCATAGAATTCTTGCACACAAGCCAGGTAGTAAAGTAAGATTTGCTGAAATGGGGATTGAAGCCTCTCTACCCATTTCTTCTGTTAAAATATCTCTTAACAGCTACACAGATTTTCAACAGCATGCACCACTGCTGCACTTCCAGCTAAACATGACAGTATGTTTCTCCCAGCCCATCAGCTTGATAACTATTGGTTTGACAATGCCATTTTATCCTTCAGCATCTGTAGGTAGTTGAGTTTCCTGAGGTTCCCTGTATTGTTCTCCCTTTTCCTCTCCTTGCCTTTGTACAGTGTAAAAATGCTTAAAGGTATTCTTAGCTGAAGCTTGCTATCCATTGCTATCAATGGAAATTGTTGAAATGAGTAAACTCAGTGTTTGACTCAGAGTTTCTTCTGTGAAGAGGTTAAATACTGTCTCTCTTGACATTCTTCCTAGTCGACTGAGTGACACCCCTTCAGTGAGGAAGGAAGGTGAACCACGTCGAACAAGCACAGGAGCTTCATCAAATCCACAAGCCGAAGTGGATCCTGATACTATCTTGAAGGCTCTTTTCAAATCCTCGGGTACCTCCACCTCTGTGCAGCCTACAGAGTTCAAAATCAAACTTTGAGAAGTGGAGGCAAAGAGTGGACTGGAAAATTTGTTGAGTGTGGGAAATGGGGAGACAAGTACGGAGACACAAATTGTGTTTGACCGTACTGAAATCTTTGTTTTTCTACAATTACTACCTTCCTGTACAGTAGTGTTCTCCCTAATGTGTGTTCTGTTTTCATAGTTGGAGTTTTTGTCCGCATATTTCTAATGGAATAATCTTCCCTTCCTCCAGTGAGATATGTATTGCCAAGCTTAGACCATGTAACTCCTTCCTTTGCCCCCACCAGTCAACCCCCAGGCAGTATCTAGGTGGTAAAACCTGAGAAAGGGTGTGAAAAGTATCTTTTAGGGCTTTCATCCTTTGAATAAGAGAGTCCCTTTTGCTTTTTACTGATGATAAACTACATTTCATTTCAATGCAACTACATCTGGGGCTTAGGCCAGGTATAATACTCTATCCCCGTGCATTTGATAAGGCTAGCTGTTCTAACATTCTAAAATTAGTGAAGGAGAAGCCACAAATATTGTTCATCTAGTAGCTGATGGAAAGGATGGTAAAGGCAATGGGAATATGTACAGGTATAGGAATATAGTATATCCTATACTTTATCTCTTTCATTATACCATGGTGATAAATTGCTAGTGTATTGCTGAGGAATTGGCCCTAGCAGTGGTATGAACTTGAGTCCAGCTTGTTTCACAGATGCATGCTCTCTCCATGAGAATGCATGGGCTTTGTCTGGACAACTATACAATGTTTCTCTTCATTTTCTAGCATCTATATTATGCTGATCCCTAGCCTTTTACAATGAAATTGTATATTAGGGAGGAAAACATTTCTAGTTTCTCCCAGTTTTATTTAATAGAAAGGAGGGCAAACTACCACTCTCACATGGTGTTTTACAAGCATTTAAGTGAGCAGAGGCCCTTGGTTTGCCAGTCTTCATAAAACTGCAATCACGTCTATGTTATGCTGCACCTGGACCTTACTGAGCAATAGTGGCACCACAGCAGATTACATTGATGGACCTGTTGGAGCTATTCCAACAGCATCTCTCACAGTTTTCCTCTATGACCTTCCCTCATCCTTCAACAAAGGTTACTTACTGTAGTTGGAGGTTGGTCTAGACACAAATAATACGACAGACAAACCCCACCATCTGCTTTTAAGAAATTATCAATAGCAATAGCTTCACCTTTCAGCTCTGAACTGTGCTTGGGCAAAATGCTGCTGCCATGCAGCCGTGTTGCATATTTTTCTGTACTGAAAAGTGGTGAATAGCTTTGTGTTGATACAGAGGGGCATCTACATACCAGAACAGAAAGGGAGGTGGGAAACACAAGGGGGTTCCTCTAGAAAAGCTGGGATGATGCAGTTGTCCATGTTGAACTTTCTTTGACAGGCCCATCTTTGCTTAGAAACAAAGACCACCCTTTTGCTAGCACCATGTTAACCCAGTGGTGAAAATGGAAAACTGGCAGTTGTAGTTACTTGATACTAAATCAAAAGACTGACAGCTCCGGACTGTGCTTGAGGGCTTCAGTTTTTATTCTTTCAGCTGTAAGATATAAGCAATTCTGTAAAATCTTGTAGAAACTTCTGTTCAATTGATTCTACTTTCCTGTTTTTCATTTTGTAACATCTCTTAGTTTGATCTAGGATGGTCACACCAGTTACGCCATGCTGTAACCCTTCCCAACTCAGAAGGAGTTCTATTCCTGGTGGGAGTTGTTAATCTGGATTACAAATTCCGGACTGATCATAATTTCACCATTACTGGGAAAATGTGGTTGTGAACTGCAGATACTTTTTTGTGTGCAGAACTGCTACTCCCTGTACCCATGTTTCATTAGCAGCAGTGGTTGGTTACAGGGGAAGGGAAGGTTGGGGCTGGAGGACACTATGTATGTTTCTGAATAAACATTTGTTATACTGAGATGATTTTCCCCCGTTTCTTTAACACTAGAAAGAAATCAACAAATAAGGCAGTGGAGCAGGGTTACTGACTTTGAAGGAATTAACATTTGACCAAATATCAGAATGAAAAAAGAGCTTTCCCTGAACTTAACAACCTGTGGAGGCTGTCTGAATGCTTTCTCGTCGATGGAGGAAATGCTACTCCCAAAACAGGGAAAGCATGTCACAGTAAGAGGGTTCAGAACAGCCTTCTCCACAACACTTTGTTTTATGTGCAGGGAAGTTCAGTGTGGAGGATATTTAAAAAGGCATAAAATAATGATGTCTGTGTTATTTAACTCTTCTTTATAAGATGGAGCAGTCTGTTTTGCATGACTACACTTTTAACTCCATGCACTGAAAGGCATTTTCACAGGGCTACCATATGCTTATTTTACTTATCAGAAATGCTCTATGGAAGCTCTAAGACACAGACATTTTATGACTCTTTGACTGAAGGATACTCAAATCTTGTAAAAAATACATTTATAATTATTTTGAGCAAGGGAAAGGAGGACTTTCAAAATTCAAACCAGTGGCTGTACAGAATGTCTGTTTTAGGCAAAACTTTGGCTAAATCCTAAAGGTAACTAAACTACATATGTGATTACTATTGTGCCCTAGACACCACACTAGGGTGTTGATATTTAACCCTAACTGTTGAACAACTTTGTACCTGAACTTAGCATTTCTGTATTTGCCAGCCTGCACCACAGAGTTGATTACAAAGAGCACCCTTATCTTGAAAAAGGACCAGTTGGTTATAAACTTTCATCCCTGCAGCTGCACAGTATTAACAAAGCTCTGGAGCAACAATGCATTTCCAAGCAAAATAACCGGAGGTAAAACTTTTTAGAAGAATAGTAATTTGTGCTCAACTATTCACCTGAAAGTGACATAGTCAATAGTATTCACACAGTGTTCTGGAAACTGCTGGTACTTCTAGTTAATGTAAAGACATGAACGGAACAAAGCTGGGAGGGGGGGTTGTTTGTTTTTTGCTGTGCTGAGAATTTTTTTTGAAAAGTAAATGTATGCACCTATATACGCTAAAACACAGGTACTAAGTTAAAAGCTTAAATTCTCATCAGAGACTTTGTGCTTAGAATGCTAGCATTTTGCTCTCAGATAACAAATCATGACTGAGCCAGCAGTTTTGCATATTTTCTTCTGTTCAAATGATTCTGACTGTCTGCTTATGGGAACAAACCACGGCACAAACCACTGCAGAATTAATTGCAGGAACCTGTTTCCAGAACTTAACTGTGGACATCAAGCACAATGTTCCCAGTATGACTAACCATCTCGTGTGACTAACCTGATTGATGGTACATACCATTTTAGGACCGAAGACTCTAATTCTATGTCCCCCTATCCCGGGAGTCATGCCCGCCTTACCTCTCAACACTCGTGCATTATAGGAGGGTATACAACCGGGCTGCCCGCGATTGTGCTACTACTCTCCATCACCCCTAGCCGCTGACCATGCTGGTTGAGCTAATGGGTGTTTTAGCCGAAAACCTTTAGCAAGTGCCGGATGGTCTACCTGTTCTAATTTGAAGGCTAAAAACTGAAGAGAGTTTCTCACCAAATCTGAATCTCGTTTCCTAGGAACTTGGCTCCCACCCACTCCTCTATCGGGAAACTGCAGCTCCCAGGAGCCTTTGCGGTAAACAGTAGATGACGAAAATGTGACGTAACTTCCTGCTCGGAACGTAAGATGGCGACTGCTGCGAGGCAACGTGTGAGCGATGTAGTGCTTGGCGCACATTTAGGATACACGGGTGAGCGGAGTAGGGCTGGAGGTGGGGCAGTCATTGTTCCTCGGGGCCGGAGCGGAGAATCCCCGGGGCGAGGGAGCAGGAGGCCTGATCGTTTGGGGCGGGCTCGCTCTTTCCTGCCCGCCTCGGCGCTCGAGCGGCGTCCTGCGCCTAGTTTCTGTAAGGCTGTTCTCAGTGAGCTGTTAAACAAGAAAACCGTGTCGCGCCTTAAGCAAATTTATCACTCGTCCTTCTCATCGTGTTGTTTTCCTCTTCCAGTGGAAGGGAGAACTGCCCATTGAAATACGGGGAAATCCAACATTCCGGGTTTCTTCAAAATGCCCTCATCCCCGAAGACATGGTAACAGCAAAACGTATTAGCAGCAAAGGTCCAAGTCATTGTTCTGTAGAACTCGGATCCTTTGGGAGTTTTATTTATTAGTTTATCCCGAATTCTAGGCATCTGCCAGAGACTGAACACTTATTTGTCCTCGGAGGATGACGGAGGGAGCAATTAATCTGACCTCTAATGCAACCTGATTGGCTTGTATAGGGCTTTTCAGCTGGAATGCTGAACAAGAATCAGCCTACATTTGAACTGTGAAATTAACAGTGAACTTGGTTGCCACACTCTTTTAGCGGGAACTCTAGCAACAGTGGACTATATTGCAAGTGTGTACAATGATTCTCTCAGTCTCAGCCATCCTGCAGTATTCAGCGTGAACCACACTGCAGGGCTCTTCTGAGCCACTCTGCCACTGCAACCCTTCTCCAGCCTGCAATATGAGGATAATGAAGTGTATTTGCATGGGCAGGTCATTTTCTAAATACCAAAAACTAAATAAGTAAACCTGGGCATGAATAAGAACTGAATTGGAAAGAAAGCTCTCTTCTTTTGCTACTACCTTTTGTTTGGGGTAGATTAGATCCAATCCATAGTTACATTAGAATTCTTCTTTGATGTCTGTGGATGATGTTCACTAAACTAGCTGCTCAGGAAGAACCAGGAACTGTTGTGCTGTTATACTGAGATGGTCTTTTCCATCTCATGGTGGTAAAACTGCTTCTAACTCTGAATTAAAAAGGCAAGTAAGATTGCACATAATGGAGTTTGTTTATTTTTAGCTTTGTACATTCATGTACCATTATTCAGCTGAATGACAGTTTATGTAAAAACAACTGCCACCAACCCAATACCAATAAAATTAGCATGGAATGTTCCTCAACACCAAAATGCCCCAACACCCACATTCCTTCATATAGAAGATGATGGAGAAAAAATACAGTACCTTTCCATGGACCCTACGTGGAAGGCTGAAGAGGGTGACAGGATTGGCCTGGAGTATTCAACCATGAAAAGTTCTACCTGCAGCCTAAAAGTAGGACACCACAGACAGTTTCGACTTAATTAGGAGCAAAGCTAGATGTGCAGAGGGAACCATATTTTAGTTCACATGTCTGCCTAGTTCATTTAAGATACAAGGGAGAGGTCAATATCTTAAAACAAAAAATGTGTTCTAATGAAGGGAATTACACTTTCCCTCTGCTTTTCCTAACCATATCCTGTTGCCTCAGATACTTTTGTTCCTGGCCTGTTCTGATCTTGGCAACCAGGTTGAAGAAGGAAATATTCTGAAGCAGTATAGGTTGGTGCAATATGGGAAGCTTCCACTCAGCTTTTGTCATAAAAAGTAGACCCACTCTTACCTCCCCTAGTCATGTATAGAAATGTCAATACACAAATGTCACATCTAGTTTGGACTGGAGTACCAGATCTTGGTGTCGTGGTTCTTCTGCATCGTTCAGGAGAGTGTATTCCAAAACATTCCCATAAGTTTGCAGGAATTTTCTTTAGACGATTTTGCATTTCTGAATATCCAGGATAACTGGATTTTACAGAGAGATGGTAAAGTAGTAGTCTGGTTGCAGGGGGGCAACTGTGTTTGTTAAATTGGCTGATTAGTATGGATGGTGTCTGCAGGTGGTGGTTGTTGCTATCACAGTGTACTTTGGGATATAGTCCTTGCTGAAGTTCTTTGATAATGAAGTATTCTTTCTTTTAGTGATTCCAGTCAAATTTTCTGAAAAGCATCAGTCACCTCATTACCTGTATGTGAAGGAGCACAAAGTCAGAGAGGACACAGATCCTAACAGGCCTCAAAACCGCACTCTTTTTGTCTTGAATGTTCCACCATATTGTACAGAGGTGAGCATATTTAGAGCTGTAAAAAGGTTACAATTATTCCTAAGATACAGTAATCTTACGAGCAGGAGAGCTTGAGTCTTACCTGTGTTCTGGTTTTGAGAAAAGTAACTAAAATGTTCCTTGTTGCTTTTTGTAAAAGCATATGTTTGAGGTAACAAACATACACAGTTCATAACTTGTGGGATGTAGATCCCTGTTTCCTGGAAAACCTTGGATTGCCTTTGTCATTCAATCAATGAACTGCAGTCTTGATTGACCAAGTTACTTGGGATAGTTGTAGTATAACTTTGTAGAGGACCAGGATACTTTTGTTTCCATGGGAACTCTAGTAGTTAATTGTCTTTGGAATGCAATCGACAAGAGAATGAAATCTGAAGCAGGAAGTCTTCATTCCAGGTTTCATCGTAGTCAGACTTGTTGTTATCCCATTTCTTTTGTCTTGCATGAAACCTGAGGTGGCATACCTAGTCCTCCACACCATTTTATCATTACAATCATAATCCTGTGAGGTAAGCTAGGCTGAGAGAGAGAGACTGACCCAAAGCCACCCAGTGAGCTTCATGGCTGAGTGGGGACTAGAATTTGGATTTCCCAAGTCCTGCACTTTAAGCAATATGCCTCTCTGACTCTTAGTTAGCTTTAGGTAAGCCGCTATTGTTCTGTCTGAGTTTTTCATGCATATGAAATATAGAAATAATCATTCTAGCTTGTGGTATATCTATTTATATATTATAGAATGCCTCTTCAATAACCAGGAATTGTGCTGAATTTTAATATTCTTGCTTGAAGGAATGTTTGTCAAGACTGTTCTCCGGCTTCTGCTCTGTACAGTCTGTGGAGATGTGTGAAAAGCCAAGGCTGGGCGAAAAAAGAGAAGCACCCAAGTCCAAGTTCTTCCATTCTAAGAGACCTTTGGTAAATCAAGAACGTTGAGCAGGGGTGGGAAAAAGCAGAGTTATCACCATTTCACAACAAGGAAGGGAGTACCCTTAAGAAGCACCAAAGCAAAGACTTCATGACTATCCTTCTCTTACATACTCATGGGCTTCTTTAAGACAAGTCTGTAAGTGGTTGCTTGTCTGTGTATCCGAGATAAAGAACTGCATGGCAGAGAACTACCAGATTGGCTCAGACGTGACCTCTCCCCTTTCCTAAGCACTATAATGGAAATAGTGTTTTAACAACAGAGTGGGGAAAACAGAACATGCACTGCCTACAGCATCCACGCCATGATTTTGTGTCCAGCTCTGAAAGATACACATGGATCTCTTTCTTTCTCTTCCCTTGTACCCCCACCCCAGTCCCCATTAAAAATCCAGCTGCATGCATTGAGCTGAGCTGTGGAGGAGCCTGCATGGCGTGTGCACTCTCTGTGTCTCTCAAAAGAGCCAGTCTGTACAAGAGACGGGTCTGACCTTCAGGGGGAGGAGGTACAAGATGAAGACAACAGAGCAGCCAATAAGAGCAAGGGGTATTTGACTGCCACCTTGTGCTTTTCTTTATGCATATGCAAATAAAGCCAGGCCATAATAGTCAATTTTGTTTCCTAGGGCTTCCAGGTTGCTTATGTTGTGTTCAAGAGTCCTGCTGGGGTAAAGGCTGCCCAGTCCTTATCAACACAAGAGCCCCTTGTGATCTCTTCAGACAGACATCCCCTCCAAACTGGCATTCATAGTAAGTAAATCACAGATGCCTAGAATTCCCCCCTTTTTCCCAAATCTGGCAAAAAGGTGTGTAGGGATTTCATTTTTGGCTGAACGTAGTACACACTGACAGGTCTTGGACAGATCAGGAGAAGACCCGAGTTCAACTTTCCATTTGGCCATGTTCACTTACCTTTGGTCCTTCATCATCTCTTACGTTAACTTCTCTCATAGAACTGCTGCAGTGGCAGGGTGGAATGGAGCGAGACAGTGTGAACTCTTTAGAGAAAATAGATTGGGATACAAAGAAATAAAATACTGGTGTCAGCCAACTTGGGTGCTCCAGTCTCAACTATATTAGTTTCCTCATCCTATTTCTTTTTTAAAATTCTCTCTGTTCTAGGCATATTATTTAACCTGTTCTTACCCAAATATAAGGACAGACTTTTTCTCTCTCCCATTCTCATCCACTGCCATTACTAAAACCAAGCAAGAGAATAAGGGACAACATTGGCAAACAACCCAGTAATCCTGACAGCAAGTTTTGAAGCATTGTCAAGGTCTGCAACTCTGAGAAGCGAATACAGCACTACGATTCCTGTCTTGCCTTATGCTGTGATGTGTCAGGGAATGCCTTAACAGGGAATGCCTTAAGAATAGTGGCAAACTGAGAATAGAGGAAATCAAAACTTACTTTAAGGAGACAGGACCTTTGTTGTAGGATTGAATTCCATTGCCAGGCAATAGGCTTGTGCAATAGCATTGGTATTTCTTAATTATACTGACGATTAAAACACCTACCAACACATCACTGCTCACTAGCATGAGAGTAAAGATGTTCACATAAGGTGTGATACCTACAAATAGTAGTAATTAAGCTTCTAAATCTTTCTCTTTCCTTCCTCACTGCTTTCTTTTTTGAGTTCATACAATTCAGCCATGATATGGAGTGTATGAAGAAGTCTTGGGTTACTAGAGGGTTGCCCTTACCTTTTTGCCTTGATAGTTATTCCACTTCCCAAGTAATCGCTTTTTTCCCTATCTCAGAATGGATTGCCAGGTATGCAGCTTCAATTGTGGATCCTGCTGAGCTGAAGGCAGAAGTGGATGCCTTCATGCAAGCCTATGACCAAAAGGTTGCAAAGGTATGGACTGCTGTAGATGTAACGGTATGAACAAAGTATGCAGTTCTCTGTAAGTGTCCTTTCAGTCCAGCTTCTCCTGTATGGGTTGGTTTTAGTTGTGGCTGGACAGAGAGCCAGTAAGGTGTAGGGAATCAGAACTGAGACCCCCCCACCCCAACTCCACCACAAAGCCTTGGGCCAGTCCATCTAACTTGCTCTATCCTGCATCACCATTTTTAATGAGAAGAAATTTGATAAGGAATACCATTTTTGCCATGCTTTGTTCCTTGACTGGAATTGTAAGATATAATGTAATAAACACAAAGCTATAATAGTGAAATCTTGTTGGCAGGCATAATGGAATTTTTTTCATTCATTCATTCATTCATTCATTCATTCATTCATTCATTCATTTATTTTTGGATTTATATCCTGCCTTTTTCCTACAAAGGGCTCAAGGCAGCTTACATCATTCTCCTCCTCCATCTTATCCCCACAATAACCCTGTAAGGTAGGGTGGGCTGAGAGTCTGTGACTGGCCCAAAGTCACCCAGTTGGCTCCATGGCTGAGCAGGGACTAGAACCCAGGTCATCTGAGTCCCAGTCCCAGCTCTTAACCACTACGCCAGACTGGCACAATATACAATTGCTGACACTTGGCTTCATCAGGATCATTTTTTTTCGAGTAAGGGCTGTTTGGAGGATCATATCCCCCATGTGTCCTAGCGAACAGTGCAGTCCTGCTTACATCAGCAAGGCTGTTTCTGGCCATTTTGCATGTGGCAAAGGGCCTGGGACTCAGCCCTTCACTCAAGGGCTGTGAAGTTCAGGCAGAGTGTCCCGTGCGTAACAACAGTGTTTCTGAATTAAGAAAGCAACTGTGAAATCAAATAGCCATTTTTAATAGCTTGAACTGCCCTGGTCTTGTCTCTATTGTCTTCCCATTTTCCTTTTACTGACATAGGAAGAAGCCAAGGCTGAGGAAGAAGATGGTGTCCCAGATGAGGAGGGATGGGTGAAAGTGACAAGGAAAGGTCGAAGGCCTGGAATCCCATGGACAGAAGCAGCCAACTTGCGAGCACTGGAGAAGGAGAAACGCAAGAGAGCATGCAAGGAATTGCTTAACTTCTATGCATGGCAGCATCGTGAGACTAAGAGAGAACGTGAGTGATTGACTGTCCTGCTTCAGTGGGAGCTGAGGCTGGGAAATGTTAGTGGATAGGAGTTGCTGTCTTCTGATTAGTATTTTTTCAGTGGAGTTAAATCATTGGCCACTTGTAGAAGTTTTTAAAGTTCCAGTGTTCTGTTTCAACAATGGAATTTTCTGCCTACTTACTTGCTCAGGACATGTGTATCTACACGTCTGTAAACTGCATCTTCTGTGTCCAGAGAGTAAACTTTAGTAACTTCAGATTGCTTAATCTAGATAGCACCCTTGTATTTAGGAGACAACAGGAATGACTGTAGCTTTTCCAGAAACTAGGTTTTATTGAGAAAGTATACTAAAACAGCAGTTTAATTCTTAACTATGAAGGCTGTCCTAGAGATAGGAATGGAATAGAAAGTGATGTTACAGTGAAGCAGTGGATATCTTCAGTTTCTAGGAGAGGGAAGAAGGGGAATTGCAGTGAGAATTATTTAAAAAAAACTGACCAAAGGGTGGGACTGTGAGAGTGCAGTGATCCTTAGTCCTAGGGAGACTTCAGAAAGATCATAAAAAACTTCAGCTGTGACAAGATTTTATTGGACTGAATCTACCAAAATCAGGAGGGCAGAAAAAGAAGACTTAAAGCTGGAATTTCAGACTAAGTTAGGTTATTGTTAGATTAAGGCTGTTTTCTGGAACTACCCTTACATCCAGGGGTTTGGAAGAATGAGCTACCTAGCTAGGGGCATCTAAAACTTAAGAGTGTCTGCCAGCAAAGTTCACTAAGGGCACACTTGAAGGATTGTGGGAAACACATTGAGGTGATGGCTTCTGAAGCTGTCATAGTCTTTAATTAAAAGTGAAAAAATCATAAAGGAATAGCATGGTCCTGGAAAAGCAATTTTGTTCCTGTTTAACAAAGAAGAGTCTAGCTTTTAGGTGGAGTTCAAACTGCTTCTTCTAAAGGACTCCTGAAATCTTAGAGTTCATCATAGCCAATTGATAAGAGATGCAGTGAACTATCCATAGTTTGAAATGGAGGGAGAAACAACCCAGAGTTTTAACCAAACAACTCAGAGATCTGGGTTCACATACCATGATAAATCAAAAGCATGATTTGTTTACCAAAGCAGAAATACAGAGGCAGCAAATGCACAGAAAGCAATGTGAGCATAGAAAGCAATTTGCCTGTTGTGTAGCTTAGCCAGGGTTTGTGATGTGAACTCCATTAAATGTGTAAATTAGGTGGCTGAATAATGCTGTTCAACAAGGTTATATTTGTTAATTCTAGACACTTTTGTATAAAACAGCTGTTCAAAGCATGAAATAAGGATACATTTTTCATAAGGCTATAGCCTCTAGCTTTTCAATGTTTGCATTAAATACTCCAAAAATATATAACCAACGACTGGAGAATGGAGGGTTTTTTTTCTGTTGTAAAGCTTTCCTTTTGGGGTGGGGGCTGACAGTGAGCAGGGCTAGAGCCAGCAATGGGGCCATCCCTCCCCCTTTCTTTCCTACCAGTGTGATGCCCTGTGAGGTTCCTATTGCTCTTGCTTAGGTATGGTCACTTTTGAGGGGGCTCCATGAACACCATTCTAGTCTAGTCTGCTGATGACACAGCACTGACTGCACTGGATGTTATAAAAGCATTCCTTTGCCTCACACTTAACCCATTTGAGGATCTATTTGCTTAGTCTTGACAGAAGCAAAGGCTGACCACCATCCAATGTTTGATTTGATGTCTCACTGTAAGGGCAACACCACTTGAATTCCCCAAGGTGGTTTCATAACATTCCTGAAAGCAAATAATCGCAGAATGGGTGTCTTATGTGCATCAGAATGGTGAAATGTAACACAGGTAAATTTTCTTAATGTTTTATTCACCTATCCTTTCTTGTCCAAAATATTCTCTATTGCTTCTTCATGTCTTTCAGACATAGCTCAGCTGAGGAAGAAATTTGAAGAAGACAAGCAGAAAATTGCACTAATGCGTGCACAGCGAAAGTTTCGGCCCTACTGAGTTCTAGAATCTGCAGTTCCCAGAAGAGCAGAACTGCTGTAGGAAGTGCACAGACAGAGATTTTCATGGGACATTGAGGAAACCAGCCTTGATGTCTCCTTTTCCCACTGACATATCTCCTGTGCTGTAAGAAATGAAATGCTGTAAAGCTAAGAAACAATCACCGTTTGCTAAGACTATACAGGTGGGAATTCATAAGTAGGTATCTCTGTGCCTGACGGTTGTGTGGACCATACTAACATGTGCCTGGCACAATCTTGACTTCAACCCACATAAGAGGACTTTGAAAATAGCATTTTGCATGCAACAGGCACGCAGCTTCAGTTGTAAATAAATGTCTCTAAATGCTCCAGCATGCTTTTCTAGTCTATCTTCATTGAGCTGCTGCATTTTAAAGCATGTGTTTTGCTGGAGTACTTACAAAATATCAGGACTACGTATCCAATGAAACACTTGCAGTGTACAGCACTGCTTTGTGATGAAAGTGGTGCAAAATGTCGGTGTTCAAAAAATAATGGGGAAAGTGGGACGTGTACTGCAGTAGCAGAACAACTGAGGGCTGCTATATAGGTAATCCTTGCACTCCTGTCTCCTTTCTTGTGAAAAAACTGTGGGGCAAGCAACTTGCTTTAGAGTTCTCAATATGATGTTTATTTGTCCCTTGAATGAAAAACCAGGAAACAGCATGGCTAGATAAAACCTGCTCGCTCTTAAAATTGACTTAAAACACTTCAGGTAGTCACAGAACAAGACTTCACATTCCAAAGATATGGGGAGGGTTGTACTTTTCTCTTCCAGTTCTTTGCTACATAAGGCCTGACTAGATTTGAGACTGTCATAGTGTACATAGTGGCTGAGTATAACACGGGTTAGCTTTGAGCGCCAAAGAACAAGTCACAGATTTGTTCCTATATAGCATAAGGAAAACCCATTTTGAAGAAGTAAAACCAGACTGCTGCAGGCACAGGCAAATTGTTTTTGGTCCCCCCCCCCCCCCCCACGGAAATGACAATGGCTGGAGGCTAGTAGTTCACTCTGTGGAACATTCAGCATGTGCTGAGGGGGGATTAATTTTTAAAGTAAACTGTTATCTGTTGTGGTGAATCTACATGACAAAGGCTACAGACCAGTGCATGTTTAGAGAGGAAAAAGGGTCCCTGTGTAACATGCCCTATGAAACAAGGAAAAATCTCCAATTTTGTCCTCCTTCCATCAGCCGGTACTATTTATCAGTGAAGTAACTTGACAAAGTAGTTTGAAACTAGGCAGAGCTGTTTTAAGGACCTAGAAATAAACTTTCCTAAAATGCCTTCTTGACATTACAAATTAATTTTATTTTCTGCGCAGCAGAAACAGCTGAAACTTCCCTGATTGAACAGGTGGCTGTTGTCTGTTGAGACCATAAAAACGATCGTCTGTGGTGAGAACTCTAATAGGAAGCAAAGTGATGGTCAGAGACAATCCTCCAAATCAGCTCATATGCTCCCACTCAGTGTTGCATATAGCCAAACTAAGACATTAAGGAAGAAATTAATCTGACCGCCATCTGAAGAAATAGAACACATGTCAGCAACCAAGGAGCTTTCCCTAGTTTAAGGCACAATCTTGCCATATGAAGTAGATATGGCTGTATGTTCATTCCCACTCTAGGAAGCTTGTATGTCTACGTTAATCCCTGTACAAATTGTCAATGCTATGCCAAAAGCTTTAGTAGGGAAGACAGATGAACAGGAATCTCTGAAGAAGACTGGTTTCTTCATATGTAGTCCATCTAGGTATAGAACTGCTGTGCTGGTGGTTACAGATTGGCTTTGAGGGTCTGGCCCTTATTTAAGAAAGTGCTGATTATCCCAGCTACAACCTCAGGCTCATTCAGATGAACAAAATGATTCCCAGCAACTTTGACAAAGTGGAAATGCTAAAAGCAAGAGAGAAAACAATGAGAAACAGACTATAGCACAGAAACTGTAGGGATTTGAAAGAGAAAAACTGATAAATATTATTAAAATGTATTTATGACGTCTGTATCTCATAAAGCGTTCTGGTGAGCTAACATAACAAATGTAACACAAATACTGAATATAGAAATGTCAAAATTAATACACATTCAGAGCACCCCAAAATTACACAGGTGATTAGAGGTCCAGAATGCATGAGTTATTTACAAGCCTGGGTCAACAGGAAGCACCAGCTTTTGTAAAGAAAGCCTGAATAACGTAGAATTTTTTTGTATCAGGCAGCAGAACCTTGGAGTTGTTCAGTAGTTTCACTGAACTTTTGAAATCACTTCTGTTCAGTGACGGCTTAAAAAAAGAAAAGGAAGAAACTTAAGGGCCAAGTCACTTTCATCAGAAGTGCTAACAATGATATGCTAGCATAAGCTACCTCTGGCAACAAGGTAAGTAGCAGTTGCTGTTGCAATGTATTTTCCAGGGAAGCCTGTTGAGTCAGCAAATGCTATTGGTTTTGCACTAGAGAAAGTTTGTGCCAGTGCAATTTAATTTACCTTACTGTACTACCAAGAATGATAATGGCCCAAATTCTGCTATTCATATCCATCATGCAAGCTTATTTTACTGATCTTTTCTTCTTTCTGTCCAGGCAAACAGCAGGTGCATGTGGGCTACTGAAACTCTGCATGATGGAAATCCTTGCTCAAGCTGCCCTGTTTCCTTTTTTCTGTTACTCTATTTGCATATTAATAGTATTTCACTATAGCTCTTCAAGCCCATCCCAAGAGGCCTAAAGGTTATGCGGAAGAGGCAATTCTGCACCCATTACCCAGCTAGTCATCACAACTGTCAATACCTAGCCCTTCACCTGCATCTTGCTTTGCCTCCTGAGACATGCATATGAGAGAGAGAAGCAGCTGCATGTTAAGCCACTTCAAAAATACATCATGCTAGGAAGTACCCTCCAGACTATGCAGTTCACTCACCTCTTTTAGGAAGGTCCTGTATAGTTCCAGGCGTTGGTCTAGAAGCGTTGGTGAGTGACCTTTGGCAAACAGCCCATTTTGTGCTCTAGAAAGAAAATTTCCAAATCTTAGTTGGCTTAGGAACAACAGCAGTGCTCTACAAAGTGTTTATTTAGCTATATCCCTGGAACAGATCAGTGGAGTAGTAGATTTTTTTCTTAACTGCCTGTACCCCCACCCCTTTCTCTTCAGCGGAAAATCAACAGACAACAGGCATTGCGAGTCACTTACATAATCATCAGTACATCAGCCTGGATTTTTTTCAAGACATTCATATTTTCATCTGCAGGCATTTGCTACATACGGAATATAAAATGACATATAAGCAAGTCAAGCAGACAAGTCTAATCTGTAGGTTCAATTATGTTACTCAATTGTGCTGTTTGTTTTACAAGTAAGTTCATCTTCAAAAAAGTGTTGTAGGGTAGGCAGAAAAAACTGGAAATGAAACGTTCCCATATGCTGCCATCCAGCAAAATATCTTCATAGCAATTCATTTGACAAAGTACTGAGGCGGAGAGACCAATATGTGTGAGGCCAGTTAAGATGGCTCAAGCCTGAAAAGGACTAAGGGCATGGTTCATCTGTATCCAACCTGCTAAGCATTCTCTAGGTGGAAACACAGAAATAAAAATAAGACTAGAGCACAGCTTACCATACTGACTCTCACATCTCTGTTATAAACTAAACCTGCAGAACAAGGAAAAAATTAGATCCCAGATTTTGTGAGATACAAACTTGCCCATGGTTTATTTTGCTAAAACGGTATTACTGAAGGAAATCATTTTCACAGTAAAGTGGAGGGGATGGACCTGAAGGATGGAAGCTTAAGGGTTGGATCCAAATTTAAGCAGGTGCAACTGAGCTGACCGAAAAGGGTTCCCAATCACTTGCTCCCCATGGCAGCTCAAGATTATTTTCTACAGAGATGGGAGAACTGTAGTGTGCAGGAAAGTGGGGGAATTCTCAAAAAATAGAGGCACCTTCTGTGAGCAGAGCTCACCTCATAGCAGGCTGATCCTGGATCCAACCCTTAAACCAAGACCAAATATTTAACTACACTGTACTTCAATCCCTGCATGAGATCAGCTGGGATGTTCCAAGACTTAGTGTCAGACCATTGGTCCAGCTCCTCTCCTTGGGTAACTTGCAGCAGCATAAGATAGGATTCTACAACAACCTTGGACCACAGATCTTGTACGTAGAGATGGCAGCTATGGGACCTGGAGCTTACGGCATGTGAAACTACATTGCTCTGCCACAGACTATGCTCACCAGATGTCAGGTTCACTACTGCACGGACACATGAAGTATCTTCTTACCTCCTAACACTTCAGTGGCCCCTCGCTCCAGTATGATCTTTCCACTCTCTTCAGTTAAGTGTCTGTTTGCCTCTAATAACCTATGGAAGTCAAGGAGAAAGATGCACAAGTTGGCTACTGAATAAATGGGTAGGAAATTGATTTTTGAAAGTGCTACACACTACTAATTCCATGTGGTGTACTTATTAAATTTTCCACAGCCAAAACTTTTCCACTAAAATCTGACTTATCTGTAATCAGCCCAACTGCTTGTTTTTTTTAAGTTTTGGTTTCTCCTATGTGCAAATTCCTGCTTATTTGTTTCATCCAGACATGTTCTAACTCTTTCAGCTAAATTCCATTTCAGAGAAGCTCTTTGTGGACTGCATTCCAGCAGTGGATGAGGTAAAAAGATCAGGGTCAAAATAGCAACATTACCAGCATATTCTGCATATTAAAGCTCTTACTGCCAGTAACAAAGCCTTAGTTGAAACATTTCAACTTTTTAGAATGGGGAGAAAATGGCACAAATGCTGGGAAACTGCCTTAGTGGTCAGCAGATGGGGGAAGGGAGGTAAGGCCATCCCAGGAATCTGACACGGCTGGATTTGTGCCTGGCCCTAGGGCTTCCACCGCTTTGCTGTGTGTACTCTTTCATCCAATTCCAAATCCCCAACACTGCACAACTCAACAATTTAACTGCATTCACAAAACCATGCTAGAAAGGATTTCCAAAAGCTACTACTATGATACGTACTTCCAACCTTAGACTGATGGAAGTCAGAAGTAAGTCTGAGCAGCTTTGTTAGCATCTTGTGCTGTTGGCACTACTGTGCTGCCTTGAATACTTTCTGAAAGCCTCCAGAAGTGGATGCCAAATAGGTCCCTGAGTTTGGTGGATCACTGATAATCAACAGCAACCAGTTACATCTGCAAGTTTTGTAAGTTTGTTTTTTAAACTTCTGGTAGAGAAGATATTCAAGTTCTGAGCACCACATCTCTACTGTTTCTGCATTTGAGCTTTCAAAGCCAGTATCCTAGCTGTGGTTATGTCTGTTTTATGAAGGCAGAGGAACTGCAACAAAATGCCTTCATGATGCATTTACAGTTCCTCATACTGAGAAGCAGAACTCTCAGAAAAACAAACAATGAGAAGGTCAGCTGCTGGATTAAACCCAACAGCACACACTTGGCAGACCACATCTTGCCATACTCCAGTACAGGGCATGAAGAACAATGTCCAAGGAGAAAACTCACCTCTGAAGTGCCTCTTGAGGACTGCGCACTTTAGGGGACTGGGGATGGTTGGCCTCGGCATTCAGCAAATTCTCAATTACGTCCCGCTTTAACTTTAGCATTTTCTCCCAGTTCTATAAATCACAAGTAATTATTCATTATATAAAAATGGAATCAATTAGCTAAGGAAGTTGTGGGCTCTCCCATGCTAGGGGCATTCAAGATGCAACTGGACAGCCATTTAAGAGGAATGGTTTAGCCTGGAGTCCTGCACTGAGTAGGGGGTTAGACTGGATGGCCCTTTTGGACCCTTCCAACTCAACTATTCCATGATTCTATGACTTTCTATAGTTCCTTGGAACCTAAGCCTCTCAAGACACAAAAAGCACCACCAGTAACCAGGAAGACCACAACAAAGCAGCTTGCCAGGATAATTATGGCCACTGGCCTTCCTCACCCTTGATAATTGAATGAGGTGATAATGAGGCTTCTAGTTTATTACTGTTCCTGACAGATTAGCTTCACCTTAAGAGGTTTGAAGATATGAAAACAAAGCAAATCTCTCTTTACAAAATGCTTTTTCAGTTATATGTAAACTAACTAGCTACAGTACACAAAAAGTCCAAACTAAAAATAAGGCAAGAGAAAAATAGAGCAGAATTTGAGCTTCATCTGTGGCCTACAACCCTTGCTGTCCCTGGGTGAAGTCTTTCTCCAAACTGATTTGATTAGACTTACTGAATTTCTACTTATGCAACTCACCAAAGTAGTTTACAAAAAATCAGAAAGCAAGTATTAAAAACAAATACAAACTCAGCAACAAAAATACAATCTTAAAAACTGTTACAATTTAAAAAGTCAAACTGGAAAGGTGCATTCTTATCTCATTCCTGAGTCATAACTCCAAGTAGATTGTAGGGTGTGAGAGAAAGTCATGTCCCACTCATGCAACAAATAGGTGTTTATGAGGAAGGCAGTCTTCGAAAAGGACTTCTACTGATCTTTGTAACCGAGCAGGTTCACACAAAGATAAATGGTTCCTCAGAGAGCTAAGCCCTAAGCCCTACGACTTTAAAGGCTACCAATATTATTAACTGAGCCAGGATATCAATTGGCAACCAGCAGAGACCTCCCAGTACTTAACTGTGTGCTGGACACTTTTGGACCAATTTTAATATTTTGGACCAATTCAAGCATCCAAAATTCAAGGCTCTTGCTCAGCACAGAAAATGCTGCCAGATCAGTCTGACTCAGGAATGGATTCAGCTGGCACACTGGCTGTAGTTGCGCCAAACATACTTCTCAACACTGCTGCCATCTGCAGCCACAAGAACAGCGAAGGATCTAGGACAGTGATGGCGAACCTTTAAGAGACCAAGTGCCCAAACTGCAACCCAAAACCCACTTATTTATCGCAAAGTGCCAACACTGCAATAAAACCAGAATATGATGCTGCAGATTCAAATATCTCAGGGGGAGAGCACAACATTAAAAAAAATCTGTCTCTTAATTAGAACATCTCTTTGCTAAACCTTAAGATATTAAATTCAAAAATTAATAAAAATTCAATTTTTCATAAGAAAACTCAAAGTTAAAATCTTGTTATTAAAAACGAATGCACTAAAACTCACAGCCAGTCCAAGCAAATACACACACACATATCTCCGTGGCAGCGCATTGACCAGCCATGCGAAAGCTTGGATGAGTTGCAGCTAACAAGTTGCAGCTCGTGATGTCATCGTCTGATGCTGCTACTCCTTTCTGAGCATGCAAATGGCCCCTATGTGCACTGTTACCCGCTGCTGGGGTGCTGCTGGGGCGACTTGGCTCACGTGCCAACAGGGAGGGCTCTGCGTGCCTGGTGTGGCACGTGTGCCATAGGTTCACCACCACTGATCTAGGATCTCTTCCTAGCTATGGGGGAAGGAGACCTTTCAGGGAGAAAGAGACCCCATCCCAAACAGGTTGATTCCCAGTTCCTGAGCCAGGCTTTTCATTGAGTGGCAGCATTTTTTGTTTTTTTGGGATTTAATCTCAGCCTTTTTGAGGTTAAATCCCAAACTTTATGGGATTCCTCCTATTCAGACTAGCAATAACACTTCTTTGCAAAATTCCATCTATTTCTAATTAAAAGCTAAAGCTTGCATTTAATCTGATTGAAAAGTATTCTTTATTAAAGGTCAGTGCATTTTACTAGTTGACCCTAGGCACTCAGAAATGAGCATCACAGAATTCATTCATGCTTACTCCCAGGTAAGCATGTATAGGCATGCATAAATAATACTAAAAAAAGTTGGGACAAGACTCACAATTTTACTCAAAAATATCTTTATAATACTCAATAATTTCAACAGCAAATAGGAAAAATGAAAAAGCTGTTAGAGCAGCCCCCTACTGTATGTTTTTAAATATGGGGTGAGCTCCATTTATAATAAAGTTGATATACAAAAATAAAGGGGCAAAATAAGTATTAAAATAAACCGATCTTCTGCATGCAATACAGAATGGGCCTAAACCCAGTTCCAAGTGTCAGAGCAAACAGCTTAGTGGTGCTTCTGCAGCACCTACAAAAGCATTCTGTTCACTGTAAAGAGGACAAAGACATTTTTGTACTCTTCTCTTGCCATTATCACCCCTCATCAAGGATGGCAGGACTGGAACTGTCTCCCATCCACCCTATTGCAGCCTATTCCTCTGATTAAATATAACCTCCTGTCATGGAGACAATTTTATTATGTCTTCCAAATGTAAGGAAAGGTTTTGTAATCTAACCTGAGGTATTGGACCAAATGATTCCACCAGGATCAGCTTGTCTACCATTTCAGGGAAAATACAGGAGAACTAGGAAGACAAGGGATGTGAAAGGATGTTTAGTGTTTTTATCCCAGACAACACTGTCATTTCTATCACTTTTGCTAATGGTATTTCTTAGGTTGTTTCTGGGTTCAAGACAAAAGAAACTATGTCCCAAGGAGAAAAGAAGCTGCAACAGGGTGACACCCCATGAAGTATATACTCACCATGCCACCAACTATTCCACCTGTACCAAGCAAAAAGAAGTGGAGCTTAGTATGCACCCAAGTCCAAGGCTACTACCCATGTGACAGTGAAGCAGAGAATTTCAAACCCTGCTCCAGCTGGGCTGGCCCTTCCTACCCCTACCCAATTCCCAGGGCCATCAATCACCAACCACCCTGTGGTAAGGATTCAAGGAGAGCCAGGGGAAGACAAGAATCAGAGGAGGTATCTACCCCTTCCAGCAGAGCTCTCCTCTTCCCTCAGAGACCATCTATCTCCCACTGTCCTGTGGAAGAATCCTGCCACACTATAATACATTGATACTGTGTACTGGCAAAGTGTGTATGAATGTGTTTTGATGTTGTTTACAAGGCAAAACTGCTTGCAAAGAACCACAACTGAAAGGCAAGAGCTAAACTATAGCAATAAAAACAGTAGCTCACGCACCCAGGCCTCCCAAGAGAAGAAACACACTGGCAAGGAGAGAATAAAATGGAAGACTTAAATCCCTGAGAGAAATGTTTGTGCAGCTTTCAAAAATGTGGGCTGGAAGTTGAACACGAAAGAAAAATAAGGCCTTCAAAGGTCACTTACCGAAACTGTGACCTATGAGGATAAATCGACTCCACTTCAACACTAAAATAAATAAAAGGATTTTTAAAAGAAGCATCTCCCTTAAAACTGAGAGTCTGAGTTAAGACCCAAACAGTCCATTCCCCACATGCTATACATGGGCAGTAACACTGAAAGAGAAATATGAGCCCAAATTGTAATGCAATGTAATAATAAATAACTGTCCAAATCAGCCTTCCCTAGTCTGATGCCCTCCAGATGTGATGGTTTACATCACATAGGATAGGATGCCACAAACAGTGTCCCTTTGTGTTGCTCAACAGAACATGATTAGGCAACCCCTTAGTGAAAATGCCTAATTGCCTCCTTTGGAAACCAGATGGCCGATAAGATGCTTCACAGGAAAGGACAGAATCGAAGGCAGGGCTGCATTGGAGATGATACCAATCTCACAGCAAGAAGCCACTCTGTAGGGGCAACAGTATCTCTTGAATTTTAACAGTCATTATAAAAAATGAACAGAACTAGTTCATCCTGTGTCAAATGGAAACAAGGGCAATTTTTTTACAAAAAGGAAAATAACAGGCTCAGGCACCAAAGTGGGTCAATTGTTAAATCATGTCACATTGGGGATGGGGGGAAGTTACTTTCCCTCAACTTTTAGATTCAAATATGTAGCATGGAAAAAGATTCATAAAATGTTTGCATGAATCTCCCACAAAACCTTGCTCCAATTATCCTTGAACTTGTAGTGATTTGCCACACATTGTTTCTGCCAACCACCTGCTGGAAAAACTGATGAAAAAAAATCAGTGTTTTATTCTTACAGCTTTGGGGGTTCGTTTTATTTGTTAGAATGACTGCAGAATCTGAAAAACTGCCAGTAAGTTTCAGGGGTTCAAAGGGACCCTGCAAAGATTCAGTTACAGCTCTCCACCTCATTCCAGCTGCCACAGGAAGCTCTGCAACGTCTCCTTTTCCAAAGCTGAAGAGGGAAGAAAGGCAACATACTGGTGGAAGGCATGGGAGGGAGAAGGAAAGACATGGATTCACAAGACACAGAAGTTTCTTCATCACCTGCCCCTGCCTACTGGAAGGTAGAAAAGCTACATGTATTGTAGGGTTTTTACTGGAAGAATGACACAGAGATTGGTAACATTCAGTAAGTAATCTAGTAAAATTCCTGTGTCCAAAAGCCAAAACAGTTTCTTGAAAACATGGCAAGGCCTTGTGGCCTTCAGCTTGTTAGGAAATGCACTGCAGATCATTGCCTTGAAACTGCCTTCTCCAATCCTGATGGATTCTGCAATGCTAGGGAGAACTTTATAAAATCCATGAAGTCTTGTGCCTAGTAAAGCAGGCACTGTCTTTTGTTCTTGGCCAGGGGAGAGGAATGATGCAACATTTGCCTAGGCAACCCTTGGAGACCCACAGAGCATCCCTCAGTCTACTGAGAGAATCAGCAGGCCACAGAAAAGGGGCATGTTAAGTTTTCTTTAGTGTGCATCTCTATTTCACCATAGTACTCAGTAAACTGTCCATTTTCTTTGACAGCTGGTTTCATTTCTTAAGTATTCTTGAATCCAATGTGTATCGGCTGGACCAAGCCCCCACAATTAAAACAAAGGCCTATCTAGCTAAAAACAAAAGTGGATGCACAGGACACCATACAAAAAGCCTCTTTCCTCCTCCTGCCCTGCTGGATTCTTGCTGGCAGGGCTGTGGATAGGCAGAGGACTCTAAGCACGGGGTATAACCATTTCCAACCACTTCCACGGCTTTTGATGTTTAGCCTAGAACTTCCACTTGCTATTCCTTGTGAGAAAGGATCATAGAAGGTAAAAATAAATTATTTTGTCTTATTTAATAACTTTAGAGACAAAGTATTTGTTTTGATTACTTTCAAAAGCTGTTTTACAGCAGTGGACAGACATACTAAACTCCTTTACACACCTCATCCCCCCACCCCCACTGAACCTTCCTTGTACCTAACAAACCGATTTTCCAATGCATGAAGTTCAGGCTGAACTTACTAGTTCTGCTTCTGGGTAATTCTGGCTTTACTAGGTGCAAGACTTCAGTTGCAACTCTCACTAAACCCCTTTCTCTATGTATTCACAGATACCTTCAAATAAAAGACTGGAAGCTGCCTTACAGTTGGCCTGTGTTGCCCACTACTGTCAATAGGCTGGTTTGCATAATTGTGCTGGTCAAACACAATCAAATTTTACCCCTGCAGTCAAGATGCTTCTATGAATTAAATGAATGTAAAATGCAAAATTGCACTTGCTCAATGCTTTATTTTTTTTTTCATCAGGGTGAGCAAAAAATGTTGTTGTTTTAACATAGGACTGCAGACCCATCTTCAAAGCATGGAATGGTCATTAGAGAGGAGACACAAAGAGATGCCAGTTGTGTGCTTCATAGCTGAAATAATACTCATGGGCCCCCATAATTCCATGAAATCCAGGGTCTAAAATTATCTAGTTGCACTACTAAGCAACCCAAGGTAATATTTATTGTTTCATTACTACTGAAATGTGGCTTATTTTAGTTTCAGCCAACCTCCTGAAGTATAGTGTATATTTTCTAAAGCCCATGAGCAATGGTTGCATTCTGGAAAGCTATAACTTCTTCCACGCTCTCAATATTGATACAACAATGAGGATGCTTAATGTCTGCTGACTGGTTTAACTCTTTTACACCAACACTGATTACTATTATTACATTGCATACATATTCTGCCTTTTTTTCTTCTTGTAAGGAACCCAAGGCAGGTCTCATAGTTTTTCCTCCACTCCATTTTATTTCCATAACAGGTAGGTTAGACCAAGAGTGAGTGACTGGCCCAAAGTCAACCTATGAGCTTCATGGCCAGCTTGGAACTAGAAGCTGGATCTCTTAGGTCCCCAATCCAACCATGCCACAATGATGATCATATATCAAGAGTTTGCAGAAAATACAGTTGTTTGCTCATGCAAATATTATGCATCCTGAACAGTTTTGAATGGGTTTTAAAGAGTTTAATGTTTGTCTGATTAAAAGTAGGACTAAGCCGTGTTCTTTTCTTTTATAACTTTTCTTTTATAACTTTAAAAGAACTTCTTATAACTTATAACTTCTTTTATATCGTTTATATTTTTATTTATTTTATATTATTAATTTTAATTTTATATTGTTATTTTTATACTGTATTGTATTTTATTGTGTTGTAAGCTGCCCCGAGGCTTCGGCAAGGGGCGGCATAGAAATGTTCTAATAATGATGATGATGATGATGATGATGATGATGATGTTTGGCCTTGAAAGGAGGCTGATGAGGAATAAAACTGAGGCCAGTGGAACCAGGAGTAATCCTGGCTACTTCTGATCAGGAAGAGAAAGAACTTGTCTGTTTGTAGCCAGTAACAATGCACATTCAGACCACTGATAAACTTTTTGTATGTTCATATGCTACAAGCTCACCTGCTACCGTCCTGCGCACATCTTTTACATAGTCCAAAAAGTGATATGGAAACCCAGCTGGCCGGTGGGATGACAAGCCATGCCCTCCAAGATCTATTGCTATGTAATAACAGTCTGAAACAGAACAACAGAAAGAGGAACACATCACAAAACAATCTGCATTCCGGTATATGAGAGAAATCCGTAATTAATTAAGGGAAACCCACCTCTAGGGAGTAAGGGAATGAGCCTGTTGAAAGTGTTTGCATTGTCCAACCAGCCATGCAAACAGAGCACAGGTCGGCCTTGTGGAGAGCCCCATGCTTTGGCTGCAATGTGGCCCCAGGGAACCAAGAACTTCAGCTCTGAAACTGTACCTGCAATGAAACAACTGCTTTCATCACACCAGAATGCATCCAGTAAAAGTTAAGATGTTTTTAAGTGCCACTTAGTGGTACTGCATAGCCAGCAAAGATAACCTTGCTCATATCTCATAAACAACTGAACTCAACCTTGGTCCTGTAAACAGATCCTGCCCCTCTTAGATAGGGAAAAGCACTAGAGGAGGCCCACTTGGTCCTTCCACACTGCAGAAGAATGGAAAAGGTCATCCTTTTAGGCATGCATTCAATATTCTCTGCCCCTCAGAACTGAGTATTTCATGAAGTTGAGCTTACACTGGCTGGGTAATGTATCTTTTTCATTATTACTGATTTATAGTTTTATAAGCCTCTATTAGTCTTCTCCAGTCTAGCACTCTCCAGATCTTCAACCTGCAACTCTCAACATTCCTGATCATTGGCTATGCTGGCAGGAGCTAAAATTCAGAAACCTGAAGGGAAATAGGTTGGTGTAGGCTGCTCTAAATACATTTCCATGCACAGGCATTCCTTTCTGTCTCTCTCCTACTCCCACTACCAAAGAAATAAAAAATAAAAAAGGGGAAAGGGGGAAATGAAGTGAGATTTTTTTTCTACAAAACGGATTTGGAGCTGGTATTTACTATTGGCTTCCATCTGATGAAGAGCCAAATTGGTCTCAGGTTTGGCAGACTTGGTCTATCCAATAGTGTGCCAGTTATACCTGACCGCAGGGAAGATCAAACTTCTTCTTACAGACACTGGAACACTTTTAACACTGTTAAAATGCAACAGGAACCCTAAGATATTTAGACCACTGAATAAAAGGAGTTGTACGTTCCAAACTTTCAATATGAGTCTCTTTGCAACTATAAGGCCACTCAACATCCATGTTTACTGCCCATATCGTAAAGACTGTATCACAGGAATATAACTTTTAAACACCAGATTTAACTGCAATTACCACGGGTTTTTCAAGAACAGAATGTATACTGGCCACAGGACCTGCCCACACAGCAACTCCTGCACTACGTCCACGACTGAGCCCTGGCATGGCGTTTTTAAATCAGGTCCATGGAGGACTTCGCCCCAAATTAAGCCACGCTATGGCCTCCCAGAGACTTCGCTCGCTCACTGTGGGCACCCAAATGCTAACAAACAACAGCGCGCAAGGACAGCCTCGGCCGACAACCCAGCAAGGCCTACTAAACAAGCCCATTTATGGGGCGGGTGAGTATCGTAAATACTCCCGACCGTTCACCGGCACTGGGGGACTCGCAGAGCTGTATCTGCAAGCAAAATTCTCTTTCCACGAAAGCCGCCACGGACCAGCCCTGAGTGCAACCTTCCTTCCGGCCACAAAGCTACCACCGCAGCGTGCTTTACCGAGCATGGCCGAAGCGCGGGAAGCGCGAAGCGGGACGCGTCACCGTCCGAACCGCAGGACGCGCCCCGCCCTGCCCTGCCCTGCCCTGCCCTGCCCCGCGGGCTTGCAGGACGACCTCGGACCTGCCGTAGCCCAGCGGCGCTCCAACCCGCTGGCTTAACACGACGGCGCACAGGGGAAGGCGGCTTTGCCGTCAGCAGTGGCCGCAAGTCCAAAGGCGGCTCTTTTCTTGTTGCGAAAATGGCGTCAGTTCGCAACTTTGCTCCCGTTTGCCATTTGGAGGCAGCCTCTGATGGGAGGAAAGTGTGGGACAAATCCCAAGCATGCGTACTCTGAAGTAAGGCTGAAGCAGTCCAGGGGGGCTGCCTCCGAAACTGTCACTTGCCTAGAGGAAGCCTCGTTACGTGCTGCGCGGCTTATCTCGACGTACTGGCAAGGAGGTTTTGATCCAAAGGTTTACATTTTGATCAGTGGATGGAAACGGAGGTAGCTTGAATAAGCAGCATAGAAACAAACACCAAGAGTTGAAAACGCCACTTATCATTTTAATAAAGCTCGCAGTCTGCAAAGTATTTCACTGGGTGAGGTGCAGTGGTGCTGCCTCTTGTGGAATACCTTCCCGCAGAGAGGTTTGCTCAGTGCCTGTGTTGTGGTCTTTTCAGCATGAGGTGCCCATCTTTTTTAAATACTATGTTATTTTCGCAGTTTATTTAATCTTAGAGACAAAATTATTGCATGTTTAGGAAGAAAAAGTCTAAAAGCATGCTGGGAGTTGTGGGACTTTTTCCTATCTAAAAATACATAGGATTGTGCCCTTAAAGACATTTAGGGCTTTTAACAAAATTTTTGCCATTCTTAATGTTGTAGGTTTTATGCCCACATATGGCACTATGGGAAGTGCATGAAAGAGAAGTGAAAACTGACTCATGTTTTGGGCTTGTGAATCTGTAGCACTGGTTCCCACTATCCCAGGAAACAATGCCTTTGATTATTATGGTTCTGTGCCCCTTAATGGCCCCTCCCTCTTGCAAATGCACAAAGAATTCTGGGACTTATGAGAGCATGGCACAGAGGAAAGCACAAAACTCTTTGGTCTTCAACAACAGGGTGCACTTCATCTTGGGTTTTTTTACGATGGGACCGTTATACATATTGGGTCCCTGCTCAGGGCTTGTTCTGTCTGGCAAGTGTGGTCTGTTCTAGGGTTATGAGAAGGTTATTTAATCCTCATGAAAGCCTTGAATGGGTGTGGCTAGATAAAACAATGGTCAATCCATGCTACATGTGCTATTGCCTCACTGTGGATTATGTAACCCATGGTGGGCTGTTGTGCACACAGGCCCTCTACCTCTTAAACTACAAGTCCTAGTTTAGAACAGCACAAGCACACTCACACTGTTCTAGAGAAATTCCTGCCCTATTGAAACTGTTGCTTGTTCTGCTCTAACATTGCATTTGCTTGACTCCAGCAAAGCTCACAAGATCAGGACAACAGGTACTCAGTAATGGAAAAATAGGTTTCCATAAACATTCTCAACCACAATCTACAATTTAATCTAGTTTTTCCCTCCTGGTAATGGTGCTGTAGGCAGACCTCTGAGGCCAGTAAACTACTCTTCCCTTCCTGCCATTTTCCCCCATTTATATATTCATTAAAGAGCAAGCTGCAAAGTAAACTCAAACTATCTATTCAAAATAAACTCAAACAATATACTTTTCTTTTTCCAAATTTTGATCATTCTTACCTCAGCACTTTAAGACTTCTTTTAGCACTTTACGGAACTCTTTCAGACTGAAGTAAACCATAGCTAACTGAAAACACAGTAACCAAGCCAGAGGGGGTGTATATATATCGCACAATTAAAAAATAAAAACATAGAACTAATAATTGAAGCTGTAAAATTTAGCAGAGTCACAATAAGAATGGACAGTTCATAGAATTAGAGGCTCCTTAACAGTCATGACAAACCTGAAATACATTCCTTTGTTAGGGAGAGCAAGTAATTGCTCTCAACAGTTACAACAGTTGCCCCTACAGATGCCTTGTTGTTGTACCCTGGCAAAATGGATCAGCAGTCCAATGCACTGGCATTGTTCACTGTGTCCCTAGGGATACCAGCTCCACCTCTGACTCCCCTGTTCCGAGTGGAAATGTTTGAAGGGGAATTCAGTGTACATTTGGCTGAATATACTTAGAGAAAACCTCCCTGTGACAAGAAATTCTGCAAGATCAGGGTTCCTGCTCTTAGGAGGAATTCTGTGTGTTTTCAGCCAAATATGTTTAAAACCCTGCTTCAGGCCTTTGTGCTCATTCTGGGAAGCTCAGCGATAGAAACGCTGTGCACATGATAAGGGGGAGGTGGTGTGTAACTCTGCTTCCTAAGGGTATAATTTAATGTTTTACTAGGCTTAATTCCTGGCCTAGCTAAAGATCCTTCTGGAATGCTGTGGGCCATTTTGGAAAAGGGGGCATGCCTTTCTCTCCCTCTGCACTCTATAGCTGGGACAGAGGACAAATTTTCTGTGCAAGAAAAAAGGGGGAGGCAGAACTATAACTCAAGGCAGAGAGAGGACAGGGTTTTTGGACTGCTCTCTCTAGAGAGTTTATTTGGAAATAATGGAATTTGGATTATTTGTCCCATTCTTTAAACTTTGCTTTACCTGCACCAGACCAGTATCTTCATGAATAAATGCAAATATTACACAACACCACAAGTTTTCTGTGACTTTCTTCCAACAGAAACCAAGCCAGGTAATTGCTATTCTCTTGGAATCTCTCGCTGTTTGGAGAATTTGGTTGAACACCACATTCTACTCTTTCTACTGGTCTGTGGCCAAAATAAAACCATCCACCCATTCATTCTACTTTTCCAGCATGGTGCTATTGGCTAAGATATACAGTACAGATGGAGCTTTTATGCAGTGCATATGAAAGGAGTAGGCTTTGTCTTCTCCCAGTGATGTTCCCAAATACACACTCTCCCGCACCCCAGTCATATAACTGAACTATGAAATTATGCAGTTGTTATTATAGTGAGGACAAAATCTCACTCACACCAGATATTGCAAAGCCCAGCCTTCACAGGAGTTCTGTCTCTGTTCACTGTGGTCACTTACACATTGTCACAAAAGAGCAAAGGCATCCCCAATAAAGCGGACAAAATAAGAGTTATTTGCATAACATTTGCATTTGCTTATATATATGCACACATGTGGAACTTTTTATAATAATCTAAATAAAAACACCATGCGTCTCACCATGTTGTGGACATCTGTGACCAGGTGACCCCTGTCCCTGCCTGTTCATCCAGCTGCTCATTGTTGATGGGCGACAACTCTTACGGTTCAATAGTTTTAAACTGGAATTGAAAGCTCTTCAAATAGAGGACTGTCCTCAAGAGGACAAATGGCCATACTGCATGTATACGCATGTACATTTGTGTGTGTACGTTTGTGTACACACTATCTGTATAAGCCAAGTCCAAAAAGATGCATTGCACCCAGGACCTCAGGTTCTTTGTGACACCAATCTTTTTGTACAGATGAACATTTTGTTGCTAATAAAACTCTTTGCAGCCATCTGCCCAAATTGTAGAAAACAGCAGCCTCTGGTGACCACTATGGCTTACTTCATCCTTGAAAGCTGAATAAAATTGCTGCAGAGTGTTGCCACAGATCATACATTATAATTAACAAGCAAAAATAATGGGGAACAGCCAGAGTCACTAGAGATGCATGCCAGAGTTTGCAGTTTCCAGAAATACATCACAGAATCCATTTTCTTATTTGCAGGAAAAGCCATGCAACCACTCAAACATTTTAACTTCTGGATTTCAATAAGATTGCCAACTTTCTTCCTGCTCTATCCCTTGAACAGTTTTGTTATCACAGCTATGAATTCAGCAGATGGAAGTCCCCCAGTAGTTCACCTGCATGCCAGGAAAACTGCCATTTGCATGCCAAGAAAAGCTCCACCTGTTGAATTTCTGTTGCTGTTGCCACTGTCACACAGCTGTTAAGGCACAGGAGCTTTGCCAAAACTAGGGTTGTGAACCTAATTGGAATGCAGATGATTGTGTCTGATATTCTCATTTGTTTAAACACAAAAGTACAATTCCCCACAATCTGAAGTTGTGACAATCAAAAACTCAAGCACCAGACAGTTTAGCTCACAACAGATGTATTAGTTGTCAGTAAGGCTAAGCAGGCAAGAAGCTGAGAGGGTGACAAGGGAAAAGAAATCAACACTTTAAAGCAAATACATAAACAAAGTCTGACTGACTGCACGGAACTAGGAATGGACTGCAAAGCTGGCAACACCATTCACTTCTCCATTCAAAATAATCCTAGTAAATGACTTTTCCTGGACAGGCTTGATGAGCTCAGCATCACATTATCCCAAGAGAATCAGCGTTCATTTAAGGGAAGAGGCTTGGAAATGTGCATGTTTTATAATATACTTAACAGAAGAGGCATATTAAGCATCAACAGGAACTGGAGTGTATATCTAAACTACGTATGTGTGTGAGAGTGAGTGTGAGAGAGACCAAACAAACAAACAGATGGCACTGAACTAGATGAATTAGTACTTTGACTCAGTACAAGGTGGCTTCATAGTTTCATATATTTTTTCATGAAGTACCTTCAGTTTACAAAATTATGGTTAACTAGTAATACTAGTTTAAATGGTACTTTAGACAATTCTATCTTCTGAAGCAAATCACTTTTTGAGATACTGCAACATCTATTAATAGGAGAATTTAACTTGATTGGCAGATTCTGCAACAGTAATTCCTATATGCAAGAGGTGAGAAGGTTTTCTTGACATGTAACAGCCATTCTAATTGTCTGATCCTAAACATATGTACTAGGTTGCTTTGTGACATCCAAATTCAACACTATGAGTTAATCATGAGTTAAGCCTTGCAAAGTAAACCTGTTGTGCATTAACTCTGGGTTGATTAGCCTACATAGTACCTGGATTAGGCGGTCACACAGTAACCTCCAACTGGAGATTGCATATTCAGAGATTTATTTAGCATGAAGTCATGGTTTGCTGGA